ATGGGTAACCTGACCTTTCTCTCTGGCTGCCCTTAGTATTTTCTCCTTCATTTCAACCCGGGTAAATCTGATGATTATGTGCCTTGGAGTTGCTCTTCTTGAGGAATATCTTTGTGGTGTTCTCTGTATTACCTGGAGTTGAATATTATCTTGCCTTACTAAGTTGGGAAAATTTTCCTGAATAAAATCCTGAAGCGTATTTTCCAGCTTGGATTCATTCTCTTCCTCACTTTCAGGTACACCGATCAAGCGTAGATTAGATCTTTTCACATAGTCCCATATTTCTTGGAGACTTTGCTCGTTCCTTTTTATCCTTTTTTCTCTAATCTTGTCTTCTTGTTTTATTTCACTGAGTTGGTCTTCGACCTCTGATATCCTTTCTTCTGCTTGATCAATTCGGCTGTTAAAACTTGTGCATACTTCACGGAGTTCTCGTATTGTGTTTTTCAGCTCCATCAATTCACTTATATTCCTCTCTAAATTGTGTATTCTTCTTGACATTTCGTCAAACCTTTTTTCAAAGTTCTTAGTTTCTCTGGATTGTGTTAGAACAAGTTCTTTTAATTCACAGAAGTTTCTCATTATCCACATTTTGAAGCCTGCTTCTGTAATTGGAACACACTCGTTCTCCATCAGGCCTTGTTTCGTTGCTGATGAGGAACTGTGATCCCCTGCTGAGGGAGAGGCATTCTGATCTTGGGTATTCTCAGCCTTTTTTGGCTGTTTTCTTCCCTTCGTTGTAGATTTATCCATGTGGTCTTTATAATTACCGTCTTTGTAACTGGGTTTCCGAGTGGACGTCCAACTTACTGATTCTCAGCGCCGAAATCTGAGCAACCCACTGTGCCGACTAAATCAGCGGCGTTAAGATTGATGGTGCTTTTCTGACACTGCACCAAGAACCGACGCTCCGAGGCGCCGGCAAAACCGCCTCGCCGGTCACAAGAGTCGCGCTGGCGACCCGTGGGGCTCCTCCGCTGGGAATCTCCTGGTGCGTGAGCAACAAGAATTCATGTGAAGGTGTGGCGTCCTCTCCTTCTTTGCGCTTTCAGTGGGAGCTACAATCCCGAGCTGCTAGTGGTCAGCCATCTTGGATCTCTCTCCTCTGCTCAATGTTATGTTTGTGAGATTCATCTATGTTGTCCCAGCCATTTTTTTTTTTTTTTTTTTTTTTTTAGCCCGAGTCTCACTCTGTCACCCAGGCTGGAGTGCAGTGGCATGATCTCGGCTCACTGCAACCTCTGCCTTCTGGGTTTAAGCAATTCTCCTGCCTCAGTCTCCCAAGTAGCTGGGATTACAGGCACCTACTACCACGCCTGGCTAATTTTTTGTATTTTTAGTAGAGAAGGGGTTTCACCATGTTGGCCAGGCTGACCTCAGGTGATCCACACGCCTCAGCCTCCCAAAGTGCTTGTGTTAGAAGTGTGAGCCACCATGCCTAGCCTGTCCCAGCCATTTTTAATGATTGCACAGTATTTTGGCTTATGAGTATATCAATATTTACTTGTAACTGATCCTCTATTTTAGACTTTTTTAGGTGGCTTCTCATTTCATGAATCAGCACAGACTGAAGAACCCCACTTTTTAAAAATAGCACTTCAGTGGGACCCCACCATATGCAGAGGCATGGACCCTTCAGTTTGAGGGAAACTGAGCAGGCAGTGTGCGAAGCGCTGGGAGACAGTGGGAAAGCATCATCCCTGTTTATCAGATGAGGAAGCCGAGGTGGGAAGTGAAGGAAGCGAGGCACGTGAGCACCCGGGAGTTAGGGCAGGCCTGTGTTCAAACGTGGCTTCCTGCCCACAGCCCCGCCCTGTGTGGCCAGTGTCACACCTCACACCTGAAGCTCCAGCTCCCTGGTCCCCAGGCCTGAGTCTCCCTTTTTCTCCCCACACCAGGCTGTGCTCTGAATGACTCTCCTGTGGGCCTGGCCGCCTATATCCTAGAGAAGTTTTCCACCTGGACCAATACGGAATTCCGATACCTGGAGGATGGAGGCCTGGAAAGGTGAGACCCTGGTCCCAGCTGCCACCCTCACCCTCCTCACCCTCTTCATCCCCATGTTTGGTTGCTTTGCATGGGGCGCTCAGCAAATTGTTTCTATTGTTGGCTTTCTTACAAATCCTTACCCTGTGACTAAGGTAGCTGTATTTTTTGCCGGAGGAGGCTTGGTGAGTTGCTCCCAGCCTCAGAGTGGGTGATCAGGACTAGGGGCAGGCTCACCTGCTTGTGCTGCTTTTGCTGACCAGGCCCCTCTGGGGGTTAGGGAGCCCAGAGGGCAGCAGGTACCATGTTATTGCCAAGAGCATCTGGGCTTTTCCTCCTGACTCCCTGGAGAGCCTGGCATCGAGGCCACATGACTGCATGTTCCAGGAGGCTGTCACATCTCCCAGAGCCTTAGAGGCTATATCCTCGACATGCCTGACTTCATGTCAGCTCTGTGGCCTGACTCAGCCTTCACCAAGGTCGGCTCTGACCCACCCTTTCCAGGGCCCATCCCTTTATTCCTTCTGTGACACAGAGAGTGCTGGGGATGGGAAAGAGAGAGCAAAATGAGGCTGAATCCCGCCTTGGGGGTAGGGATTCTGTCTTGACCATGCTCCAGCTCCATCACCTACAACAGTACCAGGTGATGGTGGGTGCCCAGTAAATAGATGTTGAATGAGCTTGGAAAATACATGCAAAGGACTGGGAGTCCAGTGGAAGGAAGATTCTCTTTGTCTAAGTGGCAGAGAGGGGAAATGACCAGAATGTATTTGATTTGGGCCTTGGAGGATGAGTAGGAGTTTGCTGGATGGAGGAGGGAAATTTAGGCAAAGAGAAAAGCAATAAAAATGCAAGGAAAGGGTGCTTGGAAAGGGTGACTTGTCGAGAGGTTGAAGCAGGTACACTGGGGCCAGACCGCAAGCAAACGCATTCCTGCAGGCAGGTCCTCGCCTCCTCCAAGAGGCTCGGCAGGTCCTTTCTCTGGGATCTGTTTCCCTTACCCTACATTCAGCAGGACCCAGGAGTTGACGGAGCTCCTGCAGGACCACCTTGGCAAGGGGTGTGGCCTGCTCCTTGCACACAGATACCTGGAGCCGGATGTGAGGTCTCACCAGACTGTCCTGCTGGGCCACTTCTGCAGCTCTGGCTCCAGGTTACAGGGAGCACCAAAGCCCTGAGCAGAGGGGGGACAAGATATGATCCATGCTCCAGCAAGAACAGGGACACGCTAGGGTGGAAATGGCGGTTGTAGTAGTTTTCAAGCTGCGGGCAGAGCTGAAAGGGAGATGGAAGCACCTGGACGACTTGCAGAAAGCCAGGTCAGAGTTTACATGTGTACTGTAATGAGCTTTCATTGACCAGTCTTCATTTTGCCACCAAAATGGCGTTCAAAAGGCTGTTCCCTTAATCTCTGTTCCTGCCCGATGCTGCTGTTGCTAGAGACCAGGGTTTCAGAGAGGAAGGTGGGGTTGGGAGCGCCTGCTTTGGCAAGAGTGGAAGGTGGGCTGTGGAGTGTGCATCCTGGGCCCAGGCTGCCTAGGTTTGGATTCTCCACTTAATAAGTAAAATGGAGATGGTAGTACCTATGTCCCATAGGCTGCTCAGAGGAAAACATAAATTAAATGAAGGTAAGGAGCTTAGACGATGCTACCTGGTACAGGGTCACCCTATAGCTGGTGCCCTGAGCGGTTTCACAGTGCAGGGTTGAGGGGAGGGTAGGAGGTCAGCGGCAGGAGAGAGGGGACGGGTGTGTGGAGGCGAGCCCGGCGGGGGAGGGCCTTTGGGTGACAAGAGACACTTCAACTAAATGCATGCTCTCCAGTGTGATGCCAAGGGCGCAGCCTGCCTGTGACAAGAGGATACCACACACCTTGCATGAGGTCTGAAGAGGGAAGCCGTGTGGGCAGGGCCTGGCATGTACAGGACTTTCTGGCTGCCCTTTGTCACAGAACTGCATCTATCACTGAGAGCGGGGCCTTGTGTTCCCTTCCCAGAAAGTTCTCCCTGGATGACCTGCTGACCTAACGTCATGCTATACTGGACAACGGGAACCATCGTTTCCTCCCAGCGCTTCTACAAGGAGAACCTGGGACAGGGCTGGATGACCCAGAAGCATGAGCGGTGAGCCTGGCCGAGCTGAGAGCAGGGGACCCTGAGGCTGGGGGCAGGGGGTGGCCCATCTTGAACTCCAGGAAGGGCATTTGGTGGTATAAGTATAACCCTGCCTGCAAGTGCCCCGGGGGCCCTTGGATAAGAACACTAAAGGTGGGGGTGTTTGGAGAAAACCTTCGTGGAGGGATCACATGCCTGGCTCCCAGGTGGCCCTTAGTGCCTCTCCCCAGTCCAGGATGCTGGTCTGGTGTGGCACTGATGGTTCTGGGATTTCCGAGTCTCACATGGAGGCCCTGAAAGGTCGGGAGTTAGAGGCTGTCCCATGTCCATGGCTGTGTGGCCCTCCCAGAAGAGAGAGGGCCCTTAATGAGGGGAAGCTGGTTGAGACCCTGAATCTGTCCTGTTCTCTATGGCTCCTTGTGGGTGGCCGGTTGATCTTGCCCCTCAGGCCTTTGAACCCCCTGCTGTGCAGGAAGTGGGGGGGCAGGGTTGGGGGAAGGCACAGGGCCACAGCCTCAGCTCCCCCACGGGATCCCTGTCGCTTCTAGGATGAAGGTCTACGTGCCCACTGGCTTCTCTGCCTTCCCTTCTGAGTTAATCCACACGCCTGAAAAGTGGATAAGGCTCAAGTACCCGAAGCTCATCTCCTATTCCTACATGGCTCGTGGGGGCCACTTTGCGGCCTTTGAGGAGCCGGACCTGCTCGCCCAGGACATCCGCAAGTTCCTGTCAGTGCTGGAGCAGCAGTGACCTCCTCCCTGCCCCGGCCCCTCTACCCTCCAGGCTTTTCTGAGGAATGAGTCTGCCTCCATCCCCTGCCTGTGCTGGGAGCCCACGCTCACCCCCTCACCCTCCAAACTCACTCCCCAACCCCCCCACCCCATGTGTTAAGCAACATGGCCTTCCTTGATAAATGGCTTTTATTTCTAACAGCAGCTGGAACCCAGTGACATGAGCGTACCCCGATGCCACAAGGGACCCCTTGTCCAAGCAGAGCTGGCAGGCCCCTCCTTGCTGGCCAAGGCACGGGAAGCCAGCTGGGGATGAGGCCGCTGGCCAGGGCTATGCTGCACCCGACCCATGGCAAATGCCCACCCACCCCTTCCAGCGCCAGGGTGGCATGGAGCAGGGGCAGCACTGGCCACACCATGGGGGCAAATCAGCGCCCAGAGGTCCCCGAGTGAGAAGGCCCAGGCCCACAAGACCAGCAGACAGGTTCAGGCAGGGCCTGCAGAGGCACCAAGGCCCTGGTCCGGTTGGGCTGCAGGGAGGCTGAACCTGCTCTTCCAAACCCCCTCCTGTCCCCACCCCACAGGCTTGCGCCTTGGTGCCCCCTGGAGGCAGCAGGGAGGAAGCTTCTCAGGCAGAAGATCAGTTACATCCTATCCCCAGTGATCATCCCCTGTAGATATGAGGGACAGCCCCTCCTTCCTGCCAGAGCCTCAGCTCAAGGGCAGTGGGATGGCCTTGCACCCAGCCCAGGCACCCCCTCCTGTGTGCCGACCATACTGTCCTTTGACTCTAAGGAGGCCCTGAGCACTGCCCCCCACCTTGGAGGGAGTGGGGAGTGCTGCACAGAGCCTGCTGGACATGTGGACTCATGCAGTCAGCCCCCAAGAGGTAGGAGAGGCTGGATCTTAACCGTGGTCTAATGGGCACTTTGGTCCTTGTCCCTGCCTGTGGGGTGACCCTGACCCGGCCAGAGTGTCCCTGACAACATGATACAAAAACACAGAACCCTACAGGATGCGGAGGTGTGTGCACAGCTGCAGGAACACTGGCTGCCTCTCAGCCCGCTCCCCATGGCTCACTCATAGGGACCGGGTGCAGCCAGGAGGGGCTGGCCATGGAGTGGGGAGCTGGACGTCCAGCCAGACCTCAGACTGGACTGCAGCATCTCTTTGGTTATCAGTTATGTGTGTGCCTACAGGGGAGTGGGCAGTGTGTGCTCAGAAGGGAGGAGGCCTTCCCCTGGTTACATCTCTCTCCATATATTCTCCTGGACTCATCAGTCTGGGGAGCAAAAGTCCACCACATGGTTTTGGCGATAAACCACTGGGGATGTCCCCCCAGCCGCAGAGCTGGAAGCTTTTGCCGGTGGGGGGCGCGGGTAACTGGGGGGAGCAAGGGAGGGGAGAGGCTGCAAGCACTCCCCTCACCATGGCTGGGACCAGAAAAGATCGGCACCCAATGGCTCAGCAGGGGAGTCCCAACACGTTCCCACTCAGCCAAGGGCCTGAGCCCCAGGCCATTCTGGTTGCATCTTTTCAGAGCAGAGGGACCTAAAACAGATGGGAAGAAGTCATGAACTTGGGAGTCAGGCTACTTCACCTGTCTACTCACCCCACAGGCTCCCCTGAGCCTGGCCCAGCTGGCAGCTCACCCGGCCTCAGGCCTCCTGGGGGGTAGCAGCCACATTGTCCACGGGGCTCTGCCCCAGGAGACTTCCGCTGATGTTGTGGATGGCACCATAGGTCTGCTGCTGCTGCGGGGACAGCGCCGTCCTCTCCGAGGCCAGGCCGTTCAGAATCCGAGGCACATAGGGCTGTCAGCAAATGGATTCGTGCTTGGGTTGGGGCAGGCATGAGAATCCACACTGGATCCCTCCCCTCCTGCCCTTCTCCCAACAGGAAGACACAGACAATGGCCATAAAGGACATATGAAGAAACAGCAACATCAATTTAGGACATTAGGACCCAAAATATGCCACGTGCAGAATTTCCTAGCAGCCAGGGCAAAAGAGAAGGCACAACTACACAGTTCTCATGATCACAGAAAGAAGCACAGGAGGGCAGTTTTCTCAGAAGAAACAAAACTTCCTAGCCCTGGATTCTAGGAGGATTTCTCACTTTATAGAACAAGTCTACCTATACAGGTGGGCTTCAAGCACTGCCCTGGGACCCCCAGGATGCTCAGTGAATCTGTGAGAGTTTCATTTCCTCCCAATCCCAGGCTCCAGCCACTGACCCAGGGCATAGAGCCCCGCTCCACTCCTCCCGAGACCCTGGCTGAGGGCTTGACATTATCCACCTGTCCTGGGTGTTCCCTGCCTGGCTAGCACAGCCACAGGTGTCTCTGGGTAATGAGTCTTTTTGAAGCCCTCCCTCTTTTGGGACTTGTCCAAGGACAGACACCAATAAGAGAGCCTGACGCCTGGGAGGCAGCCACCAGAAAGAATCCTGCAGATGAGGTCGGCTCTGTCCTGGCCCCAGCTGTCAGGAAGGCCAGTAGTCACAGCTCTGGAACTCTGGGACTCTGCTTTCCCCTCCCAGCCCCAGCCTAGGAGCAGGACCCCGGAGGCTACGTGCAGGGAAAACCAGGAAGGGAAGGAGCCCTGTGTCTGTCTTCCTTTGGGGTCTTCCTCTGAAGCATGTGCAGTGTTCATTTCTTGAATTCAGAGGAAGTCTGTTTGACACCCTCTTGGAGCCTAGTGGAGGAACTCACACAGGCAGGTTCATCACTGCTGATAAAGCTTCATCAAACGCTAGCACCTTACAATGTGCCTTCACTGACGCCCCAACTCACCAGGCATTAAATATGCAGAGGAAAGAGAGCAGGGAACTGAAACCAAGGGGGATGGGCACGAATCCAGACAAGACTCATTATCGCAACAGTTTCAAATATGCAGGTTAAAACACCCAGAGGGACTAGGATTCATTCTCTGCCATTAATTCACAAATCTGCCTGCCATGTGATCTTAGCAAGAGATGATCAAAGTACATTTGCCGAGGCCCATCTGGCTGGGACTGTTACAACCAGACCAAAAAAGGGCGACAATCTCGTGGGGTGAAGGGCACAGACGGCTTACTGTGAACGGTGGGGGTACGTGGGCCTCTGCCTCACTTCCTTTGTCGCTTGTGAGCTCTTCTGTCTGCAGATAACAGCAAAAACTTGCAATGATAAACAAAACTGATCCCTGTGAACGAACACCCTCCAAATACACAGACTATCAACACCCAGAATAATAGTACCAGCTGGCACCAAGCTCCCTGGCAGCCCAAGAGAGGATGGGGTGGGGGAGTGCAGGGATGAGAGGAGGAAGGGAAGCTACACATCGCACCCAATCACCCACGCCTTTCCCACGGAGAAGCAGAATCTGGAGAAGGCTGCTGCTGTGTTGAGGGTAGGAGGGGTTGAGAGTGAGCCCGCCCCACCATCTCCCAGGGCCTGGCCGGGTAGTGGGGACGGGGGCCTTTACTTTGTAGTTCAGAGGGCTGAGGTGCTTGAAGCATCCAAAGCAGGTGTGAGCCAGGCAGACCAGGATGGTGAGCAGCACCACCAGGAAGGTGAACAGAGTGGCAGGGGCCTTCAGACCTGGGGACAGAGGGTGGCTAGCCTTAGGGGTGGATGGGGAGGGGCTGCCACCTACCTTCACCCGGCTGAGGAAGGGCCACACCTGGTGCCAAAACTGCCCGTGACTTCTCCCTCAGGCAGAAAATCATGGCAAAGCCTAAGCCCCCCACCCTCACCCCTCAACTCCAGCAGCAGGGATGATGTCTTCACAGCCAAGAGCACACAGAGGGACCCACTGAATGGCTGGCATCATCCCTGGTCAGATTTCAGGTACTGGGACGCCAAGTCAATGGCAATTCGCCAGCCTTTTTGCTTGGGTCCATTCCCTCCAGTCTCCCGTGCCCTGGGCTAGGTAGGATGGACACTCCCACATCCCCAGTCTGACCGGGGCAGATAGGTCTTTTCCTAGGAGTGTCAGTTTTCCTTCCTCCGTGTCCCCACCTCTTCCATGCCAGGAGGTACAGGGAGCTGGGCCCATCCACAAAGGGCAATGTGGATCAGCTTCCCCATCTCCTCTGGTTCAGTCCCTGCACAGCTGATAAAGGCAGTCTTCTCTCTAAGGATGCATGGGACAATCGACCAGGCCTCGACAAGGCTTACACTGCACTTGGGCTAGCTCAGGAGCTAGGCTGTCAACACCACACCCAACCAGCCCTGACTCTGAGTATCATGTTTTGAGTGGAAGCCTAACCAGTCCTTACTCTGGGCACCACGTTCTGATTGGACTCCTAACCAGCCCTCACTTTGGGCACCATATTCTGATTGGACACCTAGCCAACCCTCACTCTGGGCCCACATTCTGATTGGACGCCTAACCAGCACTTACTCTGGGCACCACATTCTGACTAGATGCCAAGCTGATGCTATGAAAACTGACTGGCTGGTGTGGATGCAGGGATGGGAGGTCAAAGGCTGGCCCCAGGTTGGAAGGGTTGCTCACCCAGGCGCAGGAAGGAAAAGAAGTAGAGCCAGAAGAGGCACAGGATGGGAGCCGCCAAGGCCTGGTTCACAGCAGCAAAGTGGATCTCCTTCTCCAGCTTGGCCGGGAGGTAGACGAAGTAGAGATTATGCCGGTCCACCATGTGCTTGAGCAGGATGTAGATGAGGCCTGCAGGGCATGGGACTGTGAGCTGGAAACCTCGCGGGGTCACAGGGGCGCCTCTGCCCTCTTCCTCTTAGGGGCAGCTATTTTGCCAAGGAGCTAGGGCTGGGGCTGCTGCTCTACTGCTTGAACACAAAATGAGGCACCCTGCAACTCTGGCTGCTAATTTTTTCTCTCTCCTACCTGCTTCCTCACTTCTCTGTGACCCCAAGGGCGTTGCAGTGTCTGTGATCCTGTCCCCAAAGAACACTAACATTCCAGGATCATCTTGGAAAGAGGCTGTTTCATACTCGGATGTCTGGCCTCAATTCCTCCCCAGCCCTTCCCATGCTGAGCCCCTGAGTATGTCAGTGCTCCCACACCCCCGGCCTTCTCCCACTCGGCTGACCCCCGCCCTCATCAGTCAACAGAGAATGAGGCCCAAGGGTCTTACCCCAGTGATGGCACAGGAGCACACAGCGGCAACCACCAGAAGGTGGGTGCTGCCTTTTCTATTATGCCCGTTTGTTGTTGTTGTTTTTGAGACGGAGTTTCATTTTTGTTGCCCAGGCTGGAGTACAGTGGTGCAATCTTGGCTCACTGCAACCTCCACCTCCTGGGTTCAAGCAATTTTCCTGCCTCAGCCTCTCGAGTAGCTGGGATTACAGGCACCCACCATCACACCTGACTAATTTCCATATTTTTAGTAGAGATGGGGTTTCAGCATGTTGGCCAGGCTGCTCTCGAACTCCTAACCTCAGGTGATCCACTGCCTCGCCCTCCCAAAGTGCTGGGATTATAGACGTGAGCCACCACACCCAGGCCCAGGTTCTTTTTGGAAAAATAAATTTTGTTTTGAAAGTGTTAATACTGTATATTTTTAAAACTACACAGGAGCGTATACAGAGAAAACTAAAACAACTTCTCCCCCTCATCCTCAGCTATTACTGCCAACAGTCTCTTGGGTTTTCTGTTTTCTTCTAGAGTCTTTTATGCATCTGCCAGTTCCAGACATTTTATTTCAGTGGCCAGGACCTTAGCCTTTAAAGTCAAATCGTCCTGAGTTCAAATTCTGGTTCTCCTGCTTACTAACAACATATGAAGTTCTTCATCTGTGAAGGGGGAATAGAAACAAGACCTGCCTTGTAGGATGAGGTGAGAATTAAATGTGGTAACCCACGTGGAGGCAACCATCTGCCAGAGTGAAAGCAGCACAAAAGCTGTGCCTGTGACTATGGCACCATCTTGCTACTAAAGAAATCAACCACGAACGACGTGGTCAGCGGGCAGAGAACCTTAGACCAGAAGTACTGAGAGAGGTCCTAGCTGGGGCCAGTGGGTGGAATTCATTTAAAAATGAATGAGGCTGGGCGCTGTGGCTCATGCCTGTTATCCCAGCACTTTGTGAGGCCGAGGCAAGCGGATCACCTGAGGTCAGGAGTTCGAGACCAGCCAGGCCAACATGGTGAAACTCTTGTCTCTACTAAAAATACAAAAAATTAGCCAGGCATGGTGGTGGGCACCTGTAATCCCAGCTACTCAGGAGGCTGAGGTGGCAGGTTGGCTTGAGCCTGGGAGGTGGGGGTTGCAGTGAGCCAAGATCATGCCACTGTACTCCAGTCTGGGTGTCAGCACGAGGCCCTGTCTCAAAACAAAAAAAGGAAGAAAATGAATGAAAGTTGGTGTCACTGGGTCTTGGGCAGCTTGTGGATCTTGTGACTATGGTTTTGGGAACATCATAACGCCGTCCACGTACCCTGGGACAGGCTCCAGGGCCACTCACCAAATGGCGCAACGATGGGACAGGTGATGCTGTAGGCCATGATGACAGTGAAGACACACAGCATCCATGCATACATGGCTCCAAACTCGTACTGGAAGGCCTGGTTCTGGGAGGAGGAGGTGGTGAGCAGCTTGTGGGCTTGTTCCACCTCAAACACCCTTTTGTGCTCCCCAAGTGGTGAGGGGAGAGCAGGGTGGAGGAGGACCGTGGAAATAGACGCGTGGCCCCCCGCCTCCCGAGGTCCTTCCTGTCCCTCCCGGCCGCCCCACTTCACTCAGCGCACCCAGCCTTCCCGAGGCTCAGTGATGCGTGTTTGCTAGCACTCCCTTTGTTCCGATCCCGTCCACCCAACAGGCGTTTGCACCTCTGGAGCGAAGAGGTGGTCGGAGGATGAACTGTAAGTGACTCCTCGCGATTCCAGCCCTTCTAGGACGGGATCTGGGCCAGCTTAGTTCATGCCTCTTTGAGATAGGGATACCAGCAGTGCCCAGCTCGTAAGGGGACTGAGGATGAAATGAAGGCATGCAACACTTCTCCCACTTTCCTCACACAGTGCCCACCGTGGCGGAGGAGAAAAGGGAATCCCACACCCTCCAATTTAGGGAATCCTGGAATAAATGCCACACACCAAAAATGCCTTTGACATCTGGGGTACGACTAAGAATTTAGGCAAATGGGTGCGCATGGAAAAGGAGTCTGTTGGTTTGAGTTGTTTGTATGTGTGCCATCAAACTGTTTCAAATGCCAGAGTCCCAGGCTCTCTCCTCCAGCCTGCGAGCTAGAGCAGAGGCTGGAGGAGGCTGCGCCTGTGTGGGCCTGGGTTTGAGAAGCACCTGGCCCAGTGCCCCCCCAGTGGGTGGCTGGGTAAATGCTCTGCACTAGTGGGGGCAGTGGGGATGAGAGACCTCAGGTCAGGGAAGGGGGACAGGGGAGGGGGTCAGAGGCACAGCCCTGGGCCCAGGGGAAGGCACCTGCTTGACGTTCCTGCGGTCGGCAGCCGTCTTGGCCACGATCATGCGGAAGGTGTAGAGGATGAGGCCCGGCAGCCGCAGCAGCTCCATGCCGTTGCCGATGAAGGCTGAGGCGATGACATAGTTCACGAAGAAGGCGCCCTGGTCCGGCAGGAAGACACACCTGGGGGAACCGGGGCCCGGGTCTGTGAGCTGAGAGCCGCTCTTGGAGGGAGAGCAGGGGCCCCTAGGCTGGGCAGGAGCAGAAAGCCCCTGGGAGGGCTGTAGACTCTTCCCTTCATTCAGCACATATTTGGGAACACATCTGTGTGCCAAGCACCCTTCTAGGCATTGAGAACAGAACAGTGCCCCAGCCCCCACCCACTCCCTTGAAGTTCACATTCTAGCTGGGGGCACAAACAAGCAAACACACACATATTCCATATGCTGGGGTGGCGAGCGCTACAGAGGAAATAAAGCAGGGAGGGTCTCTACGTTACACGGGTCGGAGGAGCCTTTCTCACTAGGCGATATTTGTGCAGAGATGTGAAGGAAGTGAGGAAACAAGTCATCCCAAAACCTGGGAAGACAAGATTCCAGGAAAAGGTAATAACATGTAAGTCGATATAAGTCGCCTGAAGAGGCTCAGTGGCACATCCAGGAAGAACAAAACGGCAGGTGGGGCAGGACAGCAGGGGGCTGGGGGAGGCAGGAGACAAGGCTGAAAGGGGCTGGGGGCCGGCTCAGGGCAAGGGATCCGTTCCAATGGGGTCAGGGAGACGACACAGATGGTTGCTGTGTCATCCCCCTGCGGGATGAGGGTGGTTGTGACGGAGATGGTGCGATTCTGGATCTACTTAAAAGAGAGAGCGGGCAGGATGTGCTGATAGGCTGGGTGTGGCATGGGAAGGAAAGAGAAAACAAGGTGGACCTCAAGGTTTTTGCCAAAACAATTGGTAAAACATCATGGAATGGGGAAAGTTGTAGAGCAGCAGATTTGGGAGTAAAAGTCAAGAGTCTGATTTTGGCAGGTAATATCTGTGGGGACTCAGGCAAACTCCAAGTAGAGTTTCAGGTGGGCAGCTGGGTTATCAGCCCGGAGGTGCAGGCTAGAGACATAAATGTGGATGTTGTCCATATCAGTTAATTCAGGAGCAGTCCCATGGCACGAAAGCCGTGGGTTCAGCTGAGGTCACCTAGAGAGGCAGTGTGGACCCAGAACTGGGGGCTGAGCCTTCAGGCAGCCAAAATCTAGAATTGGGGAGATGGGAAAGCACCCACCAAGGAGGCTGAGAAGATGATGCCGCAGGATAAGAGAGCCAAGGCAGAGCTTCGAGGAGGAAGCCTCGGAAAAACGTGTCAGATGTGGTTGACAGACCACAGAAGATGAGGACAGAAGTGGTCACTGGATTTGTCAGTCTGAACGTCACTGTCAACCTAGACAATCACTGGCTGTATGTATGTGTCTATCACAGCTGCCAGCTCCCAACTCATCAGCTTACTCAGCAAGAATTCATTTAAAACAACTCACCCCATCCTTACAGGTAAGCACATTCTTTTAGGAAAGTCATGCCAAGCTTTGGGCCTATATTAAGACCTAATGTATAGTCTGTACGGGTTGGGGTTGAATCCCAGCTCTGTTCCTTAACTGGCTGGGTAAACTTGGGCAAGTTATTCAATAGCTCCAAACCTCAGTCTCCTCATCTGTAAAATGGAGGGAATACTACTATCTTCCTCATGGCTCGCTGTAAAGATTCAGTGAGAAAAAGATGCATAAAGCATTTGGCATACTCCCTTCTTAAACAATAGCTATTACTATTAAGTGGGCATGGTATAAGTTTAAAATACTAACAAGAATACATCAGCAATAAGTTTAATTCTATTGTGGCAAAAATAATCCCCAGAGCCCAGAGGCATCCTGGTTGCCATGTGTAATTACTATTCTCCTTTCCCCAATCCCTGGCACCACTGAGACCCAGCAATTCCTTCTCCCCATGTGACTATGTGCTCAGTAAGTTTCAAAGAATGAATGAGACAGCTGTTAATTGAGTTCTGGCCTAAAAAATTAACCACATTTCTGCAAGTACAGCACAAAGTGGGTCAGCTCCCACAGTGTCTACCAGGAACTTGGCAGGGTGGTGGTGAGGCCCCGAGCGCTGCTGTCTGGGGGAGGCAGAGGCCTGTTCGGAAGCATAGACTACGACTGCCCCCTCCTGTCCCACTACAGCCTCAGCCCCTGTGGGACTTTCACCCAGGGCCATGGCTCCAGAACTCAACTTGGCAATACTCACTCCAACCTGATGGAGGTCTCCGAGGAAGTTTTGTCAAAGAGCCACCGGAAGAAAAAATCTAGACTGAAAAACAAAGGAATCCCCTAAGAGTTTATTTCCAGCATTCCATGTTGTCACTACACAGGCTTTCACTTTCTTTTGCTCTAAAAACAGGCCAAAACTTGAGATCGACTTTTGTTCTCAATGACTCCAGTTACTACGGCATGACCTGTCACGGTCTGCTTTAACAGAAACTTCCTTCCTTGAGATAAACAAAGCCATGATGAGAACCGTCCTAAGTGGAAGGTCCTTGATAAGTTTCATTTTCTTTTCTTTCTTTTTTTTTTATTTTATAGAGATGGGGTTTTACCATATTGCCCAGGCTGGAATTCCTGGGCTCAAGCAATCTGCCCACCTCTGCCTCCCAAAATGCAAGGATTATAGGCATAAGCCACTCTACCTAGCCACGAAAATTTCCAAGCTTTTTTTCTTTTTTTTTTTTTTTTTTGACACAGAGTCTCATGCCTGTAATCCCAGCACTTGGGAGGCTGAAGTGGGTCGATCACCTGAGGTCAGGAGTTCAAGACCAGCCTGACCAATATGGTGTTTTCTTTTTTAAAGAATAATCATACTGCCAGAAGAATCAGTGATCAGCCCCACTGCATGCCAAGTGGCTGCGACAGGCTTAGATATTGTTAGAGGTCTGCTTCTGCTACCAAACCATTTTCATTCTCCTAGCGACAGTGCTCTCCTGAGTGACTGATTCTGAATTTAGAGGAGGAGGTGGTGGCATATACGGCATATACCTGGTGAGACCCAGGGAGGGCAGTATCAGCACCATGAAGATCAAGAATATGTAGACTTTGGTCATCATGATCTGGTTTTCCCCCGACCTGCAGGAAGTCAAAGGTGAGCACTCGCAGTCCCCAATGCTCCAGGTACCCCCAGTGAGGCCTCTGCCATGTGCCCATTGCCTGAGCAGCTGGGGGAAGGCTGTGGACAAGGGAGCGATCAGAGACATTCTTCTTAGGGGCAGGGCCTCGGGGCTCCCAGGCACTCACTTGGTCCAGTGGGACTCCAGCAGTGTAGAGTAGTAGACGATGGAGGGGAGCAGGGCCGAGAAGGACCAGAGCAGGAGGGTGGGGAAGAACTGGCTTATGATCGGGTCCTAGGAGAAAGGTCCACGGCAGAGAGAGTCATAGGGGCCGTGGCCCACATGGCTCTGAGGCCATGACCTATTAACATGGTCGCTCAGGGGACTCCCCGGGTAGAAGTCTGTCACCTCTGACCCCCAGAACTGACAGTGTGCCAGGTACAGAGTTGGTACCATAAATGTTGGCTGAATAATCAGTCACAGCACCTTATATTTGTATAGCTCCTCACAGCACAGCAAAGAAAGCAATTTCACATACAACTAAACTCCACTTATCTGACTAACCAGATTAAATAACCTTCTCTGTTCCCTATATAAAACCAATGACTGGCCGGGCGCGGTGGCTCAAGCCTGTAATCCCAGCACTTTGGGAGGCCGAGGTGGGTGGATCACGAGGTCGAGAGATCAAGACCATCCTGGTCAACATGGTGAAACCCCGTCTCTACTAAAAATACAAAAAATTAGCTGGGCATGGTGGCACGTGCCTGTAATCCCAGCTACTCAGGAGGCTGAGGCAGGAGAATTGCCTGAGCCCAGGAGGCGGAGGTTGCGGTGAGCCGAGATCGCACCATTGCACTCCAGCCTGGGTAACAAAGGCGAAACTCAGTCTCCAAAAAAAAACAAACAAGCAAACAAACAAACAAACAAACAAAAAAAACCAATGACTGATCCCACGGGAAGACTGAACACTGAAGTCCTGCAGTCCTGGCGGGGGTGGAGGGGGCACTTCGCCTGCCTGCCTGCCTGCTCAGCTCCCACTGGTCCAGCTGCAGCGTATCAGGGCTCCACTGTGTGTGTCCACGAGTCTGCTGTTTGTTATTGTAATTAAATGATCTGATTGACTTATTACTTTCACTGATTAGATGAACATAAAAATAGAAAATTTCTTTGAAAACTAAGTTGGATACTTTGGCAGACTTGATAAGAGTCAATTTCTAAAAAAAGATGATTTTTTTTTTTTTTTTATGAGGCCACAGACACACCCAGGCCATTATGGTGAGCTGGTGGCTGGAGCCCTACTTGCCCACCCTTCATTGCTGATTCAGGGCCAACTGTCTGACCACATTCCTACACTGAGATGAAACACTGGGAACATTGTCCACCAGGGTCACTAACCACTTACAAAATTCCAGAAACAGAGGCCCAGCTGGTCCCCTGGAAGTTCGGTAAATAGGATAAACCAAGGCTTGCCTTCAGAAACGGGTTTCCCACCAAGTAGCTGTCCAAGGTCCAGGCCAGCCCCAAGTTTGCGTGAAGCCTGCCTGCCATGTTCACAGCCCATGCTGACCCCTCCAGGAGCCACTGGACTGCTTGTTCCCGGGATGTGAGAAGCCCAAGACAGCTGCAGCCTTGCAGGACCACTATGCCCATCTGGAAGCAGTATGCCCATCTGGAAACAGTACCCAGAGGGCCTATAGAAAGAAGCTGGAGGTGAAACCCGATGCTATGAAAATATTTTATTAGGTCAAACTACTTGCTATGAAAATGCTTTGAAATGCAGGAGGAGATGTAAATTAATGATAAAAGATCAAGGGATATGAGATCTAGGAAGTTTCCATTTTCAGAATGGCTCTGCGTATCTAAATTCTTCCTTTGCTTTAAAGAAGCCAACACTGGAACCACAAAACAATGAAATAAGGGTGTGGTTTATGTAAAATAGGCAAAGGCAAGCTCTCATCAGCAGATTCATCCTCGAAAGAATAGGCAGTCCCTCTATTAAAAGATTGGCAAAGGAATGCATATTTATAATACCTGCTTTAAATCTTAAACAAAACTGCTGAATTTATACTTAGGTAGTTTAAAACTATCTGCAGAGTCAGATAAGAGCTTCAACCACACATCAGTTCATTGATTATCATGACAACAACCTCATGCGCTGTATAACAGGGCAGGCGTTTTAACTTCAGGTCTTGGAAGAAAAACTGAGGCTCAGAATTCATCAGATAGGGAATGGCAAAGTGAGGGCAAGGAGGCCCTCCTGCCCGGTGTGCTTTCCCAGAGAATGATTAACCACATGCAAAGTGAAATTTAAAAAGAAAAGACATGTAGAGAGATGGTTTGGCAAAGCTGCTTATGAGAACCCAGTATCTTTTTGAGTAGATGCCAGTTGAGGGAGTGTTTAACTGTTATCTCATTGATTCATCTAAGATTTTTGAGAATAATTTATAACCTATACAGAATAGTTTTATAACAAGGTCATTAGCAACTAAAATGTAAAGAAAATAATTTGTGATCCTGCCACCCTAATCAATGAAGCTCTTTTCATTCCTTCCTGTCCCCTCCCGGTAGTGTCTATGATAGAGATGCCCCACTGGCACATCCCTTCCTGCTTCTTCAGGAGCCCTGCATGGGAGCCACAAAGTCTGCACAATTTTTAATGGATGCTTAACATTCCACCAACCTGAATATACCTCATTCAACTCAAATCTCTCCACCACTGTTTAAAGTCTATTAAAATATGTATGCATGTGTGTATATCTGTGTGTGTGTGTGTGTGTGTGTGTGTGTGTGTGTGTGTGTGTATGGCATTACGATATAGACATTGTAATAAATGTGCCCATGCCGCTTAGAGGTTAAAAGCAAGGATGTGAACTGAGCAACTTGACTCCCTGGTTCCCCACACACATCCCACTCATGTCCCCACTTCCTTCCCTACCCACCAAGCCCTCTTCTCACCAGCCCTCCTGGGAGGGGCCTTGCAGAACAGTTACTCACATTCAGCGCATGGATGGGTTTGGTGACATTGAACTTGTCCATGGTGGACAGGATGATGGAGGGTGTGGTCAGGAAAAACAGCCCCAGGAAGAGAGTGAAGTTGATGCCCAGCCACTGTAGCCACCAGCGGAGGCCCTGGATAGAGAGGTTCTTCCTGCAACGGGAGAGGGGACACAGGTCCTGAGGCTTATCTCCCAGTGCTCATGGCTTAAGTGGATCAGAAGGTCAGATTTAGGTAGAACAAGAGACTAGCCTGGGGGTAAGTTCTCTGCACTGACCTTCAGCTACAGAAAGGCAAAATCTTAGGTCCCTGTGAGCTCAGAGGGAACAAAGGCTATTCTCTCAGATGTGGTTCACCAGCTAGACCAGGAGTCCCCAAACTACGGCCCGCCTGAGGGCATTTATCCAGCCCCCCGCCGCACTTCAGAAAGGGGCACCTCTTTCACTGGTGGTCAGTGAGAGGAGCACAGTATGTGGCGGCCCTCCAAAGGTCTGAGGGACAGTGAACTGGCCCTCTGTGTAAAAAGTTTGGGGATGCCTGAGCTAGAGTCTGGGGGCCAGAATCTACCCAAAGAGATGGCATGGGCACCCAAGCAGACCAAATAAGGCTCCAGCATGGCACTTATTTTTTCTTTTCTGGAGACAGAATCTGGCTAAGTCACCCAGGCTAGAGTGCAGTGGTGTGATCTCAGCTCACTGTAAACTCTGCCTCCCAGGTTCAAGCAATTCTCCTGCCTCAGTCTCCCACGTAGCTGGGATTACAGGCAGCAGGCACCATGCCCAGCTAATTTTTTTTTTTTTTGCATTTTTAATAGAGACAGGGTTTTACCATGTTGCCCAGGGTGGTCTTGAACTCCTGAGCTCAGGCAAACTGCCTTGCTCAGCCTCTCAAAGTCCTAGGATTACAGGCGTGAGCTTGGCATTTCTTAGACACATCTGCAATGCTTTGTGACTAACAACACATTCTTCCCAAGGGGGCTGTGGTGCAGGGAGGAGGAAGGCAGGGACAAAGGATCGAAGGCACAGCTGCAAGGAGCTGAGGCAGGGCGGGACAGGCAGCACGCGAGGGCTTGCACTGGGTGCCCTTACCCTCAACACAGTGCTGGAGGCTCACCATGGCCCCCGTGAACACAGCTCAGCTCACCAGCATGGCTCCAGGCTGACACTGGACCTAAATAAGCCTCTGCACAAGCCACATGCAGCAATTGAGCATTTGAAATGTGGCTAGTGTGAAGTGAGAGGTGCTAGAAGTGTAAAATACACACCATATTTTGAAGACTAAGTGTGAAAAAGAGGATGTAAAATGTCACATTTTTCAAAAATTGACTGCATGTTGAAATAACAGTTTGGATATATTGGGCGAGATAAATTATTAAAACTAATTCCAACTTTTTACTTTTTTAGCATGGCTAGTAGGAAACTTAAAATTACATGCAGAGGTGGCATTATATTCCTGCTGGATGGCACCTGAATGCCAGGGAGGAACCCTGGCAGGAGGTGCTGGGCGGACACCCCAGCTGGGCCACATTGAGCACATCACAGCATCACGGCCCGGAGAGTTGCAGATGTGTGATCTCCACTGACTGCCAGATCACACCTGTGCTCCAGGTGACAGGCAGCTTCCACCAGGAACCCAGGCCTCCCTCCCATGTCTCCCTGGTCTAGGAACTCACCAGCAGATGTCCTCAGGATCCGCAGCGAAGGTGACTGTCCACTTGGAGGTACAGAGCTCTCTGCTATGGGAGGACGGCTGGGGCTCACCTTTGCACCGAAGGCTCTGACACTTGCAGGCATTGAAATCTTTCAGGATGCTGCCAGGAAATGTAGAAACAGCCAGGCCCAGGCTACTCCGGTGACCATGCAACATGTGGCAAGTGGGGACTGAGCAGGAGTGGGAGGCAGTGGCACAGGACCTTTGCTTTGTTGTCATTAGTGCATTGTAAGTAATGCTGTGTAAGAGGCGCCATGCTAGCACACTGTGTGGAGAATTTTGTTTAATTCTCGCCACCACTCAGCAAGAAAGGGAGTACTATTCCCATTTTGCAGATAGGGAAACTGAGGGCAGCACACCTCAACACACTGCTCTTCCATAGGGCCATCCCCCTCTACCCTTCCTGTTAAGCGGGAGCTCTGATCCAATGCTACTGCCAGGCCAGTGGCTCACCTTTTCTGTCACTTCTTCCCCAGGCCCAAGGGTAGCATTCAACCGCGTTACACACTGCCTGTTCCCCAAATTCCCTCCTCTGGGCTCCCACCTCGACCCTCACCATCTCAGCAGATCACAGGCTTTCCTCCTTTAGCCTCCCGTAAGGAGCCCGGCAGCCCCGCTCCTGCCTCAGATGCCTTCCCCTTTCCTCCTGCCCCAGTGTCTACAGGAAGTCCTGCGTGAGTCCATCCTTAGAGTCACAATGCTGGAGGGGCACGTAAGGCAGGGGGAGGGGCAGTGGCTGGACCATCTCTTTTCTGCACCCCTCTCCCGACCCACCCCCTGCTGCTCCTAAGGCGAGATGACACAGCGATCCCAGGCATGAGAGCCCAGAGCCCCATGCCAAGGGCCACTGTGAAAAGCCACTCCCCAGGCCAAGCTCCCCACTGCAGTGAGCGCCCCAGCATGCCCCAGGGGTCTTCCCCACAGCTTTGCATTTGTGGGAAGCGGGGGAGTCACAGACAGAAAGATCTGTGGTCCAGAGCAGATGTCTGGAAGGAGGGTGTCTCCGTCTCCCCTGGGGGAAGGCTGGCACACAGAGCCCACAGGATGGGTACAGGCAAGCGGGGAAGAGCCAGCAGTGAGGCCAGGCTGCATCAGCTCAACGGGGTCAGCCAGAATCACACACTCTGGGGCGGCTGCCCATATCCCCACCACCTGTCACACAAACATTGGCTGGGCTTGCCAAAGTGAGTGTGGGTGGCTGAGGGAAGAGAAGGAAACACCACAAATAAATCCCAGAGATGGTGGGTGAGCAGTACCATCTCTCCCCAAGAGGGACAGTGAGTTATCTGGAGGGGAACACATAGTCAGCCAAGGGGCCTGGGTTGTGCCCACACTCACTAGGTGGCCATAGACTTCTCCTGGAAGGTGACGAAGGCCATTCCCAGGGGCTGGTCCTGGACGTGGAGTTCTTCCTCTGTGATCCTCTCTAGCAGCCTGTCCTTCATCTGCGTGTAGTAAGAGATTGCATCCTCCTGGCAGAAGATACATCCCATTGGGATGACACGGCCCTGTGCAGGTGTCTGGGGCACCCCCATGCCAATGTCTGCACTCCCAGCCGGGGAGCGGGACCCGTACCCACTCACAGCCCTGCACTTCACAGCAGCAGAACTGGCCACAGGGCTTGGGGTTGATGAGGGTCTGCCGGCCTGTCTTCACCTGCAGGTTCCTGTAATAGGTCAGGCTCTTCTCTGTCTTCTTTCTGCAGAGGTGGGAGCGAGGGCATACACTTCAGATTCATAATCCTGTGGCAGGGACCCCCACACCCACAGTTCAACCATCAGCCAGGGGAGGAGGAGGAGTCCAGGGCCGCCCTCCTCCCTTCCTCGCTGGGAGATGTGAAGCCAGCGAGGAAGGAGTGGGCATCCCACAGGCCCGCCCACCACCCACCCTCACCTCTCCTTGCACAGGTAGATTAGCTTAGCCACATTGTAGCACAGCTGGACGTCCACCACCTCACACGTGGGATACGCGTCCCTGTGGCCAAGGAGAGAAGGAAGCAAGAGACGCTGTTGAAAAGAGAACCCCAAGCAGGAGACGGGCCCGTGGATCCAAGAGAAAGGATGGCAGAGTGATCTCGCTGGTGGTTTCTGTGCCAGCGGACATCTCTCTTCTCTTTGTCTTTTATCCTCCAAAAGGGGGAAAATTTGAAATTTAATACAAAGAGGGCTTTTGTTTTATTTTGTTTAGAGACAGGGTCTCTGTCGCCCAGGCTGCAGTGCAGTGGTGCAGTCATGGCTCACTGCAGCCTCAACTTCTGGGCTCAAGCAATCCTCCCACTTCAGCCTCCTGAGTAGCTGGGACTACAGGTGCATGCCACCAGGCTAATTTTTGTTTTTTGTAGAGACAGGGTCTTGCTATGTTGCCCAGGCCAATTTTGAACTCCTGGCCTCAAGTGCTCCTCCTGCCTCAGCCTCCCAAAGTGCTGGGATTATAGGCATGAGTCACTGCACCCAGCCAGCTCTTTTTAGTAGTATGAAGCTAACTGCCTGGAACTGACAAGTTTATACCCACTTGGCTTGCAGTCAGCTGGCACTTCTCCTGGGGGAAAAATGAACATATCACTATCCCCTCTAAAGAACCAAAGGAATAGATTTCTTATTTGTGCTCGGTCAGTATTGAGCCACAACTGAAATCCTATTCAGGTAGGCTTTTTGAAGGTCACAGACTCTTCAGAGGGTCTAATGAAAGCAAAGGACCCTCGAACCAGAAAATGTCTACATACATATTAACCAGCAAGGCCAGGCGTGGTGGCTCACACCTGTAATTGCAGCAATTTGAGAGGCTGAGGCGGGTGGATCACTTGAGATCAGGAGTTCTAGACCAGCCTGACCAACATGGTGAAACCCCACCTCTACTAAAAATACAAAAATTAGTGAGTTGTGGTGGCATCCACCTGTAATCTCAGCTACTCAGAGACTGAGGCATGAGAATTGCTTGAACCTGGGAGGCGGAGGTTGCAGTGAGTGAGCTCACCCCACTGCACTCCAGCCTGGGAAACAGAGTGGACTCTGTCTCTCAAAAAAAAAAAAAAAAAAAAAAAAAAAAAACCCAGCAAAATACATCAATTTATTCAATCCTCGTCAAAACCTGTGAGTTTTGTCCCCATTTTACAGGTGAGTAAACTGAGGCCCAGAGGTAAAGTGGCGTGCACCAAAGATCACACAGCTAGCAAGTGTCTGAGCCAGGAGGTGAATACAGGCAACCCCGGCTGGTGGCCACAATGCAACACCCCCTCACTGTATGTGCAAAATTATACATACAACTCCAGAGGATTCAGAACCATGTGAATCCCTACTTACAACCTCCCAGGCACTGTTCTAGGTGCTGGTAACAGGGCCTGGATGTGCTTACATTTTAGTGAGAGAGAGAGAGAGCCTATAGACATGTCAATCATGAAATTAAACAGGAGGACAACTTCCGGTCCCAATAAGAATTGTAAGGAAGAAAACTGCAATTTAAGCAACCCTGCTTGAAAGGCAAATTCATACATCAATCCCTACAACTGCAACAGTGTCACTAAAAGGCCTCCTAAAACAGGGGAGAGCATTTCTGAGAATGAGGGGACTCTTTTTCTCTTTAAAGTTATACATTCAGTGGAATTACTGTTTCCAGGTGTTGCCTAGCAGGGAACTTTGGGGAGTTGCTCCAAGGAAACGGAGAAAAATGATTCTGGTATCAAGTATTTACATATTAGTAAATATTTCTTAACTATTTAGAGTTTCTGAAGAAGTTGTTCAAATTTTAAACATTCAGTTTATGATTATGTCTAGTAATTTGCTTAGCAAGTGCTTTCTTCATAAATAGTGCAAAGTTGGGCCGGACACGGTGGCTCACGCCTGTAATCCCAGCACTTTGTGAGGCCGAGGCAGGTGGATCACGAGGTCAAGAGATCGAGACCATCCTGGTCAACATAGTGAAACCCTGTCTCTACTAAAAACACAAAAAATTAGCTGGGCATGGTGGCACGTGCCTGTAATCCCAGCTACTCAGGAGGCTGAGGCAGGAGAATTGCCTGAACCCAGGAGGCGGAGGTTGCGGTGAGCCGAGATCGCGCCATTGCACTCCAGCCTGGGTAACAAGAGTGAAACTCCATCTCAAAAAAAAAAAAAAAAAAAAAAATAGTGCAAAGTTAAAGTATAGCCAACTCCTAGTTCCTGCAACAAATTAGTGGCTGCTGAATTGATAAGGAATGAAGAGAGGCCATGCGTGGTGGCTCACTCCTGTAATCCCAACACTTTGGGAGGGCAAGGCAGGAGGATCACTTGAGCCGAGCAATTTGAGACCAGCCTGGGCAACATAGCAAGACTCTATCTCCACACAAATTTTAAAAATTAGCTGGATGTGGTGGCATGTGTCTGCCGCCCAGCTACTTGAGAGACCGAGACAGGAAGATCTCTTGAGTCCAGGAGGTGAGGTTGCAGTGCGCTATGATCACACTACTGCACTCTAGCCTGGGCAATAGAGCAAAACCCTGTCTCTAAAAAAATAGGATAATTAAAAAAAAAAAAAAAAAAAAAAAGGAATGAAGAAAGAATAAAATGCCAGCCCCTGAGCGCAGCCTTCAGGCCTCCAGCAGGGTCCTGGGAGTCTCCCTGGCCTGCGTGCCCCGCCCCCACCCCATCACCTTTCCTGATGCTCTGTGCCTTTCCATTCCTGGCTGTACACACAATCTCCTCACAGGAAAGCCTTTCCTCCAGCCTCCATCTGCAGGAATTGGTGGTGCAGACACTCAATGGGGGCTGCCGGAAAAGAGGTTCTACCAGGGAGAGCCTGGACTCGGACACAGTGCTCCCTCAACAGACACCTGCTGAGTGGGTGGATGAACCAACGAACATAGAGATGGTCCCGAGGTCCTTCCACCTATGAGACCCTAGCCTGGTGGGTCCATGCAAATGCTTAGCTCATGTCTCTCTCATTCTGCAAAGCTGATGCTAAGAACCCCGGCGTGAACAACCTTTTTTTCCCTATATACTCTCAAGACACTTATTTGCACCTACACCACCCTGGCCTGTGCTCTGGACACTGTGTACAAGGCTGCTTGAGGAGGACAGGCCACCACGGTGCCATCCGTTGCACAGCATCTGCAGAACTGGCACACGGGAGCCACTCCGTACATGTGTGGCAGGGCCAGGTCCTTCTCAGATCTCACCTGGATACCCAAGTGAGAGACAGAAGGCGCTCACCTAAGGTGCTTGCCCCTTGAGGGCTGTGCTGGTCCTACCTGGACGGGGCTCAGCTCCCCTCCCACCCCACCTGCTCACCGGAAGTGGCTCTCCACAGTCTCCTTCCTGGCATCTCTGGGGAGTCCTGTGATGAACAAGGTCCGCCTCACCTGTTGGGGAAACACAGCAGGGAGAGAAGTCACTGGTGAGCCAGTGTGCAGATATGCTCAGGTTTCCAACCCACTCCAGCCTCTGGAAAGTAAACAACGGGAAATCAGAAGGCTCCGGTTTTCTCCTTCTGTGGCCTGGGGGAGCCCTGAAGCATGTCATTCACACAGCATCGTCTTCCAGGCTGTACAAAGAATCCACTTCCAAAGCAACTCTATGAGCCTTCTTTGCATGGCAGGAGACTGAGAAAGAGGGGAAGTGACTCAAATGCATTCACACAGCAGATCAGAGGAGGACCCAGGCCTGGAACCAAGCTACAGAAGCTCCCTTCGCCTGTGAAGCTTTGGGTGGCAAAGAGAAAGGGCTGCTCTCAGCCCAAACTTCTTAGCACCAGTAACTGTCCAAATCTTGAAAGAATCCACCGTGAAATTTTTTTTTTAAAGATCATGCCAAGTGTGAGCAAGAATAAGCAAGCTGGGCTCCTGAGGCCATCCCAGAGGTCACTGCTGTCAGGGCCTGCCTGCCGCAGAGCCCCGTCTCCCACCTGAGCCCCTCCCAGCATGTGTCCCCAAGCCCCGCCTCACTCACCAGGCTCTCCTCTTTGTACTTAATGGACTGAGTATGGTGTCGCATGAAAGCCCACAGTGAGGAGGAGGTAAACGACGGCGAAGATGGTGTGCAGCCAAAGGAGGTCATTGCTGAGGGGGAAATCACCTGCCATCAGGGCTGGGATTCCAGGCAGGGAGCTGGGGGTGCAGAGCTGGGGCCTGGTTACCCTCAATGGGCACTGAGCTGAAGACCAATCGTTTCACTGCAAGAGATGCCTCTCACAGAGTCTGTGTGGCCAACACCCCTCAGCCCACGGTGAATACTTCAGAGGGGTCCCTGTCCATGTCCCTGTCCTGAGAAATGAACTCCAATCCACAGGACTCTCCGTGTTTCTTAAATCCCTGGAAAAACAGTGGCTGCCTGTGACATGTTATGCCCACAGCTCAGCAACACACCAGCTGAAGGGGACTTCAGACACCTGCCAGCCCTCTTTGGAGTACCTCTGGCTGCCCCAGGCTCCCGAGCTGCCTTCTCCTTGGTCTCACCCATTGGCACCTATCCCCACCGGCTCCATACTCACTCAGTCTGCAGATTTGCTATTGTCGTCCTCCCAAAACTGTAAGGGTCTTTGCCTGCAGAGAAGCACAGATACTTAGTTCCAGGGTCACGTGGGGAAGCCAGAGGGAACGTAACCAATCAGCCTTGGTTTGTGGAGCTCAGGGGAGGAGGAGCATGTCTAGCCCTGCACGAAGACAACAAGGTCTGACTGGTCTTTGAAGAGCTACACCGTCAAGGGCTCTGCTTGACACCAACATGCTCTCTGATAACTTCTCAACCTTCCATTGTGGGGAAAGGCAAGATGTGAATTCATTTTGTTTTGAGAAAACTACAAACATCCTACGTTGTTACAAAACCAACGTTGGGAACCGCCGAGTATCCTAAGTGGATTCATGTTGGCATTTTGGAAGCTGGATTCTTGCAGTTGCCCTTAGATATAATGCCACACTCTGACTCTGACTAAGTATCACAGATATCTTCTGGGGCCATTAATTGTGACCTCCTAATTTGGGTGAGGGCACGAAAGTATAAAAGACTCTCTGACAGCCCCTGATTCTGTACATCTTGTAGGGCTTTTTTTCCCTATTTATATAGAACCAGAAATTGGTATCAGGCCCCAGTTTTAGCCTATGTTTGGGGTAGATGATTCTCCAGATCTTTAATAGATGGAAATGTTCAGAGAGTCACCCTGAGACCATCTTACATCTGGATTGGAGCATAATTCCTGGGATTCTGGTCAACCACAGAGAGCCCTTTCCCTAGGACTGCCACTCTGCCCCATTACAACACAGACAAGGGTGAGAAGGGTTATTACCCAGCAAGTCCCCCGAGAGGTTGACGGGCAGGATGATGCACAGGGACAAAAAGCTGACCACCACCAGGAGGAAGATGATATGCCTCTGGAAGGACAGGTAGTGGATGGCGTCCTCCCCACACCACTCCAGGATCTGGTCATCGCTGGCAAAGACACATGTGGAATCTTAATGAGCAGTGGGAACAGGTCAGGCCCTCGGGGCTCTGCATGAAGTGTCTCATATCATCCTCACCACAATCTTATGAGATGGTTCGATTGTTATCTCCACTTTTTTGTTTATATATGAGGAAATAAAGGTATAGGAAATTTGTTTGACTTTCAGGATCTCACATGATATAAATTCCAGAGCTCACCATCTTAGGCCCTATACCATCCTCTAGGAAAAGCAATACCAGCATTCCATCTGATGTTGCTAGAAACATCTGTGCCCAAGTAACATGTGTGGGAAAGGTATGTAAATACAGGTATCTCACAGCTCCGTCCTGCTTCTAAGGAATCACATTCAGAATAAAGTTGGGACTAGGTACAGTGGCTCACGCTTGTAATCCCAGCACGTTGGGAGGCTGAGGCAGGTGGATCACCTGAGGTCAGGAGTTAGAGACCAGCTTGGCCAAGATGGTGAAACTGTCTCTACTAAAAAATTTAAAAAATTATTCAAGCATAGTGGTGCACACCTATAATCCCAGCTACTCCAGAGGCTGAGGCAGGAGAATCACTTGAACTCGAGAGGTGGAGGTTGTAGTGAGCTGAGATCATGGCACTGCACTCCAGCCTGGGTGACAGAGTATGACTCCATCTCAAAAAAGGAAAAAAAAAAAAAAAAAAAAGAATAAAGTTGGGAATATGCCCAGGCCCCGGGCCCCCACCTGTCTCCTATCTCCCCATCAGGTGAGCTGGAAGCAGCAGGTGGAGCCAAGAGTCTCAGTCCATCCTACCGCCTGGCCTCCTCCCTCTGTCCCCAGAGAAGGGGAGGTGACCTGTTCCACCCTTTCCCACCCTTGGAGTGCTATACTTGGAGGCTCTGGGGCCACTGGGGACTCAGAAAATTCCAGGTTCACACAAGCCAGACTTCTGTGCTACGAAGGGAGAAGGGACAGGGCACTCCGATCGCTCCCACTCCCTGAAGGTGCTGCTTCTAGGCTGGGAAAGCAGCACACTGGGAAGAGCTCAGGGAGGCAAGGGCTGCATCATAAAAAAGCAGATCTGAAAGATGTCAGCGTGGGCTTTGCAGTCAGACCACAGTGGAATCCAGTGCAGCTGCCTCCACCTGATAGCAGGTCACATGGCTTACCTGCTTCTGACCTCGAACAAGGAAACTGCCCACTGCCTACCTCATCGGCTTAGCAGGGGCTCAAGAGAGATAATAAGCATCAAACACCTAGTGCTATACATAGTATCAGCAGTTGCTCAGAAATATGCCTATTCATATGAGTCCCGATTACTGTTTATCTAGAGGGCAAAGCTTTGCAATTAACTACATTGTTCTTGCTTCTCAATAAACTAACTCTCCTCCTGCTTCCTCTTGTTCCACAACAGAGTTGACTAACTCCCACAGGGCTCTGTCTCCTGCCAGTTCCCTTGGGAACAACTCCTACCAAACCGACCATTTATAACATGCTCTCACATGTATTAGTGCCTATGAATTAGGCTGAGTTTGTGTTAGCCTCAGCCTTTTACAGTTGGGGAAACTGAGGCCCAGAAAGAGGGACTTACTCAATATCCTATAACCACCGTGTTTCATCAATTTTAAGATGTCCTTTTCATATTTCAACTCCTCTGAAATGAGATGTACCCTATTGTTATGGCTGACGGCAGCTTAGCTGGAAACATATTCTTACTGCTATATAAAATAACATGCATCTTGCAATGATGACTTCTTAGATTTGAGGGAATACGGCACAAGGTAAGAGCCAAGACTCACATCAGCCCCCACCTCCTGGCTCCCTCCACAACATCAGAGGTAACTAACAGGTTCTTAATGGCCTTTAATCTTTTTTTTTTTTTTTTTTTTTTTTTTTTGAGATGGAGTTTCACTTGTTGCCCAGGCTGGAGAGCAATGACACAATCTTGGCTCACAACAACCTCCACCTCCCAGGTTCAAGTGATTCTCCTGCCTCAGCCTCCCAAGTAGCTGGGATTACAGGCATGAGCCACCATGCCTGGCTAATTTTGTATTTTTAGTAGAGACAGGGTTTCTCCATGTTGGTCAGGCTGGTCTCGAACTCCCGACCTCACCGAACTCCTGATCCGCCCACCTCGGCCTCCCAAAGTGATGGGATTACAGGCATGAGCCACTGTGCCCGGCCACCTTTAATCATCTTTTAGATTTCTCTCCATGGGCCTCATTGAAAAAAAAAAAAACTTGTAACCAAATGAATTGACTGTATTATATTTCTTCACTTTTCACTAATTCAAAGACATGCGAACCTGCCTAGAAGAGATTAATTGACATGTAATCGGTGTTAAATATTAAGTAGAATAATTAAAGCGAAAAATAGCTTTAAATATCTTGTGTAGTACTATGAGAGATGAACATGATTTCCACTGAATATGTTGAAATAAATAAAATTCATCTCTATCTTCAAGAACTCTTGGGATCCACCTCAATTTTGGAAGCCCCAGGTTCCAGCAGGGACTATGTACCCTCCAGCATGTAGGCTCCAATCCTACAAGCCTCCTCCCCTGCTGCCCCGACCCCACGGGCTGCCTGCCCACCTTGATTCTCAGCCCTCACATACTGCTTTGGACCTGAACTGAAAAGTATCTAAGAGACCCCATCTTAGGATCGAGCATCTTGGCTCTTTCCCCTGGATTGGCCAAATACCCCCCAAAAAAAACAGCACAAAGACCCCCCAGCAGCTGCCCCATGGTGTACTCACTGCAGACGGAAGATCGCAGTCAGCCAGGGACAGCATCCCTGGAAACAGAGAGAACAGGGATTAGCTTCCAACATCTGTGCCTTTGGGAGGCAGATGTAACCATTGTCTTTGACATTAAATAACCATTTAACCTCCTGTTGTACAAAATCAGTGATTTTGTCCCATATTCAGCAAGCATGCGCCCAGTACTTCGCAAAATACACTGCATGCCTGGAATTCTTGCTAAAATCTCTTGACAATTTCGTGATCAAATCATGAAAGCTCAGGGCAGCTCTGCAGCAAGTGATGTGGGCTGCTGACTGTTTACAATCACTGACCAGGAGGGACAAGAGAGGAAGCAAGTCTAACAGATGGAAGGTCCACTGGAGTGGGAGTCAGGGGAAAGGGTGTCTGTAAGTTTCACCATCCTTCACATCTCTTAAACTTAACACCCTTAAAGCTGGGCTATTATCCGGCTAGGAAAGACAAATATTTGTTCAATAACTCATTCAACAATGACTAAGCACCTGCTAGGCATTAGGCACTGGGGAACAGGGCTGGAGAAGGCAGGGCTCCTGCCCACATCTGGCTCATAATCCAGCCGGCAAGTTCATAATTAACTGTCACACAAAGCCATGCGTGTAACAGAGGTAAGTGCTGGGGAAGCGAAAGGGATTCCATAACTGTTCCGGCCTGCAAGTTCATCCAGTCTCAGGTTCCAGGGTCATCCAGCTGCCATCTCTCTTGGGGTATTTCCCAAGTGCAGGTGCCTTCATTGATGCAGAGAAGCACTTTCTCCAGCACTTGTCACTCAAGATCCGCCCTGCTCCCTCCCCAAAACCATGACTGCTAGTTTCCACACCCTGGTCATGTCCACAAGGGTTCCTTCGATACCAACCAGCTCATTTTCAAAGTCTTGTTGCCCTGAGGAGGAAGTCGATGACAATCTCTGAAATCTGGACTCACTAGAGACACAAAAAGAAGAGACACAAAAAGAAAAAAATGAGAGATAATTCTTAAAAAAAAAAGTCAAAAAGATCACGTCCAGTATTTTGCAGCCTCTTAGAGCTCAGAACTAAAGCTATCAGTCCTCAATGGCTGGAACGAAAGATAACTCACTCAGTCAAACATAGAGACAAGGACAATGACCATTCCCAGGTGTGGTATAAAACTCTATGTTATATGGGATGAACAGCAAGGGGTCAACAGACCACCTGGGTGTCCCACACCCAGAAACCACACCACTGTGACTGGTCCAGCTAAAGTGACTTCAAAGTGTTGCCTATTTTCAATATATTTCCCAATATTATCAAGTAAAACTTGGAATAATGCATTTTATCAAATCTAAGATACCACTGGTTTTAATTTGCATAATTACTTTATGAACCACTAAAGAAAAAATGCTGCCAAGTAAACTACAATCACCATCAACAAGATGCCTCCCAGTTTCAGAGATGAGAAAATGCCAAAACATATGTTTTAGAGTTGACAAATGATGACACTTTATATTGTGGCACTTTAATCAGATCCTTTCTTGTGAGTACTCCCATAAAAACACCCCATACACTATATGTGACTGCTTTTCTTTTCTTTTTTCTTTTTTGTTTTTTTGAGACAGCGTCTCACTCCGTCACCCAGGCTGGAGTGCAGTAGCACGATCTTGGCTCACTGCAACCTCTACCTCCCGGGTTCAAGAAATTCTCTGCCTCAGCCTCCCGAGTAGCTGAGATTACAGGTGCCCACCACCACACCTGGCTAATTTTTGCATTTTTAGTAGAGACGGGGTTTCACCATGTTGGCCAGGCTGGTCTTGAACTCCTAACCTGGTGATCCACCCGCCTCGGCCTCCCAAAGTGCTGGATTACAGGCATGAGCCACTATGCCTGGCCGGGACTGCTTTTCTTTAGTCTTCTATTCCTGGTTCTACTGTCCCCTTTCTAATGACAAAAATCATGATAAAAGCCTTTGCAGAGATGCTGTCTCTTTCGGCCTTCACAGCGGCCTCATGGGGAAGAGAGGACAGGAGGAGACCAACCCTAATAAGTTTGGCGACTTGACCAAGGTCGCACAGCCAGGGATGCAGCAGGGCCCTCTAATCCCCAGGTGGTCTTTTCTACCAGAGTATGTGGCCCCCACTTCCAGCTGAATGTGCCATAAAGGCATCAGATGTCCCAAAAGGTTCTCCCCAACAGTCCAAGGTCATCACCTCAGGCTTTAGCAAATGCCAGAGCAGAGATCATGGGGAAGAACAGTGCCTTTACAGGTATAACTCCTCTTCCCAGTTCAGAGGACCCTGCCACACAGGCCACATGTCAGGAGGGGCCCAGGGGAGACTCTGGGTAGCAGCTGGGGCCAGTCCCTGAGTTTTCATCACTCACTTCCTATTGCCACATCTGACATAAGATCCTGGGTGCAAACAGCCAGCTGGAGCTGGAACATATGGTTGTACAGATCCAGAATTCACTGTCATGCTTCAGGAGACATGAAGAAAGAATCCTAGAGCCCCAGGCAGAACTGGAAGGACCTGAGGCCTGGCCAAGGGAGCCTGTGCTTTGTAACAGACTCATCCAAAGCCAGCGTTGACCTGGCAGGAGGGTGGGGCAGCTCCCTGAGGGCTCTGCTGCCCTTCTTGATCCTCACCCAGTCCTGACTCCATGCTAATTAATTTCAAAGATGATCACTTAAAAAGAAAATGGGCATCTTCTTCAGAGGATCATGAAAGCCCTCAGTATCTAAAGCAACCAGTCGGAAGCCAACGAGGTTCACGGTCTTGGCCCAACAGAAGCCCTGAACAAGCTGAGCATCTGGGCCTAAGGTTTTGTTTTTGTTTTTTGAGCACAATGAGGGTAGAAGGGCCAACCTCGTGGGTCTGTGGTGAAGAGCAAAGAACAATTACTGGTACAGGCTGGGCAAATACACTCAATGAACACAACCTAATAGGTAATGTCATATGTGGGTCCTACCCACACAAAGGGCTTCATAAGCCCACAGCCCATTCCAGGGAGACACAAACACACACACTACACATATACATATGCATACACACACATGCTCATAGGCACACAAGCACATATACACACTCACACATACACACATGCACGCTCATAGCCTAGGTGAAGTCTTTACCTGCCTGCTTCTGACACCAGGGCAATGCGGCCATAGTCCCAGAATCTTCTTCTTATGATAGAAAACACCAAGATTAAGAACTAAAAATAGAAAAGAAACCAAGTAAAAGCAGGTCGGATGGCTTCTCATTAGGAGAGACAGAGGTCTCAGGGGCAAAGCCCACCCGCTCACGCTCAACAGGGCTAAAAGGAAAACATTCAGGCCCAGAAAGGGCACTGAGCTGCCCAAGGTCACACAGCTCAGTAGCCTGGATGCTTTGCTCACCCTCTTCACCAGCTCCCACCACCTGTGCCCACACCGCCAAGGCTGCCAGCACTGATGCCAAGCTTGCCCGGAGTCTGCCGAGTCATGCACGTCATCCCTGTCCCTTGCTCTCAAGGCAGCGGTGACACCACAAGGCCCCAGTCTCAGGCCTTGATCTGCCTTCAGTGGCCCCTAAGCAGGAAGGTAAGGTCTAGCCTCACAGCAGCCCCAGGAACCAGGGTCCTTTTTCACTTTACAAAAATTTCTTTTTTCTTTTGAGATGGAGTCTCGCTCTTTTGCCCAGGCTAGACTGCCAGTGGCACTCTCTCAGTCACTGCAACCTCCACCTCCCAGGTTCAAGCAATTCTTCTGCCTCAGCCTCCTGAGTAGCTGGAACTGTAGGTGCCCGCCACCATGCACAGCTAATTTTAGGATTTTTAGTAGAGACGAGCGTTCACCACGTTGGCCAGGCTGGTCTCGAACTCCTGACCTCAGGTGATCCACCCACCTCAGCCTCCCAAAGTGCTAGGATTACAGGCATGAGCCACCATGCCTGGCCAGAAAATTTCATTTTTAATTACAGAACCAAGGTAGCAGAGCCTCCGCGGGCTGAGCTAGAAATGGTCAGAAGTTTTCCTGAGTTTGGTTCCCCTGACAGCAGGCTCTGCAGGCCCTGCAGACCCCCAGCACAGAGCACACAGGCAGCAAGGCCCCACGAAGACCTGTGTTCTGGCTGGCTCAGCCTCAGTAAGCTGGGACACCTCAGCAGGCTTGTGTCCAATGGCAACCCCAGGGCTGGACTAAGCTGGTTAGCTCTAGACATCTATACACTCTAGACCAGGCGTCCCCAAACTTTTTACACAGGGGACCAGTTCACTGTCCCTCAGACCGTTGGAGGGCCGCCACACACTGTGCTCCTCTCACTGACCACCAGTGAAAGAGGTGCCCCTTCCTGAAGTGCGGCGGGGGTCCAGATAAATGGCCTCAGGAGGCTGCATGTGGGACCATAGTTTGGGGACGCCTGCTCTAGACTGTCCTCACTCCCCATAGTCCACCTTGCCAGGGTTCCTATCATGTTTCTGCCTCTCTTCCCTCCCTAGACAGGGTCCCTCACTTTGAGGTTCGGGTAGGTAGAGAAATACACCTTAGGCCGGGCATGGTGGCTCAAGCCTGTAATCCCAGCACTTTGGGAGGCCGAGGCGGGTGGATCACGAGGTCAAGAGATCGAGACCATCCTGGTCAACATGGTGAAACCCCATCTCTACTAAAAATACAAAAAAATTAGCTGGGCATAGGTGGCGTGTGCCTGTAATCCCAGCTACTCAGGAGGCTGAGGCAGGAGAATTGCCTGAACCCAGGAGGCGGAGGTTGCGGTGAGCCGAGATCGCGCCATTGCACTCCAGCCTGGGTAGCAAGAGCTGAAACTCTGTCTCAAAAAAAAAAAAAAAAGAAATACACCTTAGTAAGCACACTCCTACCTGCTCTGGTCAGAAACAGGTGCTTTGAAGGTGGGCTTTGTTTTCCTAAAGGAAATCCAAAAGGCCTGAACCCCAGGGGCACTGAGTTCCCATGGGATTTTCTCCAGGAGAATCAGGAAGTTGGTGACATATTTTCAAAGGCAGGTGAGTCAAGTTGTAGGAAAACCACGAAACCTGCTCGGCAGGTGCCCGCCCTCCCTGTCCACGGCGACTGCTGCCCTGGCCTGTGCAGTGCCGATGCTTCCCACACACCCACGCTCTCCAAGGTGCTCTGGCTCTTATGTATCCCTCCCACCTCCAAAACTTCCTGCAAAAAAATCCACCCCTGGCCAGGCACGGTGGTTCACTGCCGTAATCCCAGCACTTTGGGAGGCCAAGGCTGGTGAATCGCTTGAGCTCAGGAGTTTGAGACCAGCCCGGGCAACATGGTGAAACCCCATCTCTATCAAAAATCAGCCAGACGTGGTGGCACGTGCTTATAGTCCCAGCTGTACAAGAGGCTGAGGTGGGAGGATTGCTGAGCCCAGGACGAGGAGGTTGCTGTGAACAGTGATTGTGCCACTGTACTTCAGCCTGGGGGACAGAGTGAAACGCTGTCTCAAAAAAAAAAAAAAAAAGAATTCCCCTTCACCAGCACACTCCAGTAGAGAGAGACTCTCTTCTCAACCAACACTGTTGCAACAATGCCCACCCAACCCACCTAGGGCCCCTGCCCAGGCCCCCTTCTGTACTCCTCACCTTGGCCAAACTCCCCCCACCCTGAAGGCCCAGGGCCACCCTCCTCTAATCCCACCGACTCTGAAATCCACCCCCACACCCCTGCCCAGTCCTCCCTGCTACCCCAAGCCACCCTCCCCACATTCCCCACCCAAGTCTAGTCTCCAGCTCCAAGCAGTCCAAGGGTGTCTACTCCATCAGAGCCACCTGCCCCCTTCACTCAGATGGTCTCTGCTACATGTTAAGAGACAGCATCAACAGGCACTGGCCAGCCCATGGCATTTGTGAAAAGAGGGGCCCTTTAACCCCAATAAATCTCAGCCCGTCAACGTTCAGTCTGCATAAGGAAGAACAATGACATAGTTCAAATTGGAGGCATCGTTGTGAACAAGATCTACGTTAAAGAAAGACTACCTGCTGAGGGTATGCCCTGAGAATCAGCTTCTGATTCTTTTTTTTTTTTTTTTTTTTTGAGACAGTCTTGTTCTGTTGCCCAGGTTGGAGTGCAGTGGCACAATCTCGGCTAACTGCAGCCTCCGCCTCCCAGGTTCAAGCAATTCTCCTGCCTCAGCCTCCTGAGGAGCTGGGACTACAGGTGCGTGCCACCACGCCAGGCTAATTTTTGTATTTTTAGTAGAGACAGAGTTTCACCATGTTGGCCAGGCTGGTCTGAAACTCCTGACCTCGTGATCCATCTGCCTCAGCCTCCCAAACTGCTGGCATTATAGGTGTGAATCATGGCACCTGGCCTTCTAATTCTTTAAAAACCCCAGGGATGGCAAAGGGGAACAAGAGGCAACACCTGGGAATTGCACCTGCTCTAAATCGAATCGGTATTCTCCATTTACATCTCTCAACTCAACCCCATGAGATGACCCTTCCCAAGGTCCTTAAAGACAGGACAGGCTGAGAGCTCTGCAATCATGGTAATAATTACAGGCATGGCCATGTGAGTATTTTACACACATGGCCTTATCTAATCTCCAAAATTCTCTGAGTTAGGAATTATGATCTCCATTTTCCAGAGCAAAAAGGGGAGGTGTACACAAGCTATGTAACATGCCCAAGTCACAGAGCTGGTAAGCAGCAGAGGTGGGATTTAAACCTAGCTATGTCTGACTTCCTATCTAAGTTTCCCCAGAATGCCCTGCGTGGGGGATTTATACAAATAACTGAGGCTGGGGGACATGATTCAAGAGGGCTCTCACCAGGAAGCAGCTGACGTCTATGAGCAGGACAGTGGGGATGCCACCAAAGGTGACCCCCTGGAGCACGGTGCTGTTTTTGGCCGAGTTGTAGCAGTAGGAGTCGTTGGGCTGGTTCCCGAGGCCCAGTCGCTCACGGACGGTCACCGCCTTGGACTGCCACAGCTCCAAGAATGGGGAGTCTGTCATCGCGCCTGTCTTCCCTGGAGCACAGGACAACAGAGCAAGGCAGATGTTCAGGGCTTGAATCTCTTGCAGTTTGCCCACCAGTGCTGGCAGGGCCAAAGGTAGGCGTTTCCCCAGGGACTGGGGGGGCACAGGGAGCCAGCAGCAAGGAGTCCGGGAGAGCCAGACATTGGACCTCTGCGTGCCTGGCAGTATCCACAGAGAATAGCTCCATTGTGGGAGAGTCCCGGAGAATCAGATGGTCAGGGTGAATGGCTCACCCAGGACACAGCAGGCAGATACCCAGACGGGGTGACATGGAGAAAGAGAGAAACAGAAGTTGCTGCAGCTGCTGGCTTAAGAGGTCCTGAAGTTCCTCCAGCCTCAAGGACTCGTGATGGGAAAATCACTCTTGCAGAAGCCACTGGCAGATCTGGAGTACAAGCAGGGGAGAGGGAGAAAGGACACGAAGGCAGGAAGAGAAAAACACAGGGATAAACAAACAGGGAAGAAGGGAACATCCAAGTATTCACAATGGTGCATCCACACGAGCCGCAGACACCACCTCACTCCCACTCATCACAGAATGTCAGAGCTGGAACCCCAGAAATGGGCCCATCTGCTGTACTTGGAAATTAAGGCTCAGAGGTTTACTAACCTGCCCCAAGGTTAAGGAGCTGGTCAGGACAGAATTGAATCCCAAACCTGGCGTCCTGACTCTTAGATGCCAGCTCCTCTTTTTACTTTGTCACAGAGGAGAAAGCAAAGGGAGTCGTCTAGGGTAGGAAGCAGGAGGGAGTCGGGAGTCTCAGGGCCTCCTCAGGGACCTCTGGGTCCCCCAGCTCCGCCCTTTCACACACACATACACCTCCTGGGTACCACTGGTCTAACTGCAAGGCCCAGCATTTCCAAAGCAAACACTGCTCCAGGCTGGGTTGCAGACCTTCCTTCCCGAGGCTCCTGGCATCCCTGGTGAAGCTAATGGAAATCTCCGGTGTCTGTCCCCTGACACCAGAGGCCCGGGAGTTAGTGTCCAAGTTCTGGCCAGCTTCTCATAGTGTGGGTGAAGGGCCAGAAGACATGTTCAGCCTGGCCTTGCTTAAGCTCCCACCTGCCCAAATCTGGTGAAACTAGAATTCCCAGGAGATTTCTGCTAAGTCTGGTCCTTCTAGCTGTTACAGGGACAAAGATCTTGAGGACAAGAAGAAAAGATACAGAGAACCCAAACAGATGTTTGGATACCTGGTAGTGCTGGTGGGGTGTGCGCTGGGAAAGCCCTGGGCCTTCAGTGCTGCGGACAATCACACACGGACACCTACGCATGCAAACACAGACACACACACAGACACACATGACCGGAAGTACAGGAAGGGTGAATAAGTGGAAGGCCCAAGGGCATGGGAGCATCCCTCAGAATGCCAAGTCACTTTCTCGACCTTCTAAGAGACTTGGCAACGGCTGGAGGCAGTGGGGGTTGTGATGCCAGAGTCACAGAGCTGCTGGCTCTGAACAGAGTCACAAAAGTGGCCTCTGGAACACAGATGTTCTCCGCTTCCCTTTACACCCCACCCAGTGGCACCACCCAATGGAACACCCCAGCCCAACACTTCCAGGCCAACACCTACCCCTCCTCCTTCCTGTCTCCACACTTACCAGACGCCAGGGGAAGGAAGAACTGCCAAAGGGCCCGTTGGAGGGGTCCTCAGTTGGAGCTGTCTCTGGCAAAGGCAAAAGCAGCCCCGGCCAACTTCCAAGCTGCCAGGCCTCAGTCCCAACACTCATTTCCTGCCGGGCCTTCCTGAGCAGTGAGTCCTGGGGTACCAGCCTGTACACTTTCCTGAAGGATCACAGACACCTAGCATCACATGGGAGCCACCCCTTTCCAGTTAGAGGTCTGGATGGAAACCCCCCAGCACACATCCCTGCAAACATGCCGCCCATACGGAGCTTGAGGTTCTGCCCAGTGGGCTCCCTCCTGCCTGATCTCTCCCCAAACTCCCAGAACTGGTTCTCCATCGTCAGTGTCCCTCTGTGCAACCGGACTCCTCCTTCCTCAGCCCGCACCACCTGCGGCCCCAGCCTCTCTCCTCTTCGCCAATGGTCAAGGACCTGCAGTGGCTAACAGAGCAGCCCTCTCCCACAGAAGCCCTGGAGGCTGTGGGTTGATGGTAGGACCCCAAGCAAAGGACTTCACGTGGGCCCTGAGGGCTAGTGCTGCTGGGGAGGCTCCCCAAGGTTTCCCAAGAGTTAGAATCAGGAAGAAGGAACACAGCAGCATGAACAAGGAAGGCTTGAAAAGTGAAGTGGAAAGAAAACATATCCCCATAAAATGCTCACAGAGGGAGCATTGTCCCTGGAAAGGGGAGGGTGCTGTGGAGGTGCTGGGAGTGGCACACCCTCGCCAGAGCTGCAGAGGAGAGAGGCCTCCTCGGAGGGAAATACCTGCCACTCCTCTTCCCCCTCCAGCCCCAGCCATGCCTCTAAGTAACTTTCTTCTTGCCAAATCGGCTCCCCAGGGTTGTTTGACAAAGTTTAATAACAACTCGGGGAGGTAGCTGGCAAATACTATCAGCCTGAGATGGAGGTAATGGGGCCAGGTGGCCAGTCCTGTCTGCCCTCTCCAATGAGCACCCAGGTTAGGGCACAGCTCTGGGGATCCACAGTCTCTCTCAGACCTTTCAGCTCAGTCCCAGCCTGTCCCTGCCCATTAGACACCTAAAGTCCAGATCCCGCTGAAACAGCTCCGTCCCTCTGGCTCTCAGCGGGACAGCTCCTCTGCATCTTCACAAACAGGCACGCTCTCCAAGGGCAGCTGGGAACACAGCCACCATGGGGCAGCGCTGCCAGGCTGAGAAGGCGGGGGAGGGGAACACCCAACTGGCAGGATGTGGAGGAGGCCAAACCAGTAACCAGGCACTGTGGTTGCAGTGGCAACACCTGGCTGAGAACCCCTAGCAACATTCAGTCATCCTAGATGTGTGTGAATGCCCAGCACTTATCTGTGCCCTCCAGAAATTCTCCATTCAGCCCGTATTCCTAGCCAATATGCCGAGGGTAGGAAAGCCAAGAACTACTGCTGAGGCCCAAGAGCCGGAGTGGGCAGCAGGTGACCTCACTCTTCCAACCCAAAGTTCAGCCCAGGTGCACCCAAGCGTCTGATTGTGGAAGCGGGACAGGGCTAAATCCAACAGCTGGTGTGAATTTGCCAAAGTCAACCACCGGAGCTAACCCACTACGTCTCCACCAGGCAAGGACTGGCCTGGTGGCCAACGTGACGAGCTCTAGAAATGTCAGCAGAATGTTGCAGGAAGTATGTGGATATTGTTGGTTCTTGCAAGAAGGCCCTGTACAAATTCAGGGTAATTTTATCATCACCAAATCTTTCAATCCTGTGGTGATGAGAGCAAAACTACAAGCAGCTCCAGGCTTCGCCTCGGGAGCTAATTCTGGTCTTTCAGATGCACAGTAAGATTGCAAAGTAAAGTACAAACTTCTCCTTACGGCCACACCAAAAGACCCAGTAACCTGGACAATTGTTTACCTCTATCCTGGAGCACAAAGGGAATGACACAGCCCCTTGCTGAAAGGAGAGGCAGTGTGGCTCAGAGCAGGCTCTGGCGTTAAGGTCTCAGCAGCACGCAGTTCAAACAAGCCGCCTAACCATTCTGTGCCTTGGCTTCCTTCTCCAGGAAATGCAAGTGGCGACTTTCTCTCATGGGGCTGTTGAACGGAGGCACACACCCAAAACAAGACCTGTAAAGCACTTAGCCAGGCCCTAGCAAGCAACTAGGAGCTGTCTGCCTTGAAGTCAGCCCTCCAGCTAATGGGAAACACAAGGGCAGGATCCACCTGGAGTCTTCTGTTAGATCCCAGTGAATGGCCAGGAGAAACCTTTGCCCCCACACTAAACAAAGGAGTGGGGAGTGTGAAGGAAAAGGAGCCTTGGCTTCCCTTCATGTCCCCCTGAAGGCACAGCAGACTTGAGGATGACCTGACAGGTGTCGGGGAGGCTCAGTGGGTCCACCACTCTGTCCACCCCTGCTCTTGAGGACACCACCTGCCTGGGGCTGAATGACTGCGGCCCCTCCAGGGCCTCAGGTACCGAGTCTTATCAGGTGCTGGAACCTCTGCGGATTTGGTTTCTTAGCAGAGCTCGCCTCACTCTTCCCGCCCCTGCCCTTCCCCCCAGTCCCCCAGTCCCCGAGTCCCTGAGTCCCCGAGTCCGCAAGTCTCCAGCCTCTCTCCTCTGGACTCCGCCAAGGCTGCAGGAAGTGGTCATCCAGGGACAGCCCGAAGGGGACCTCTGCCTTCCCAGGGTCAGGAGACTCGGACGCCTGGCCCTTTCCCAGCCTGGCCTTGCACAGAGTCCGAGGAGCTCACGGCTGCGCTCCTAGTTAGGCGGGAGGTCGGACTCCGCTGACAAATCCCAAAGAGAGGGGTGGGGTAGGAGGCACCAGCCCTTAAAGCGAAAAGCTGGAGCCTCAGAGAGAAGGCCTGAAAAGCCGCCAGGAAGTCCCGAGGAGCACGGGGCTGGAATAGGGGCACTAGGCCCCCTGCCCTGACCCTCTCCTCCCACCCAATCCCGCGTGGTCACCCCCTGCTTGGGGTCGAGGGGTTTGGGGTCTGCTGAGGCTAGGAGCCGTTCCGGAAACAGACACCTGGCGCGCACCCCGGAGTGGACCCGGCCCCGCGCGTCCCGGGAAAGGCGGAGGACGACATTCCCCCCTCCTCACACCCCCTGTCCCCTGTACCTGCGGCGGCGGCGTGTCTGGCGGGACGTGGCCGGGCCGGGCGTGTTCCGACCACTTAAAAGTTACGAAGTGAAACTCCGGCGTCTCCTGCACATGCGCAGAGCTGCGTTCACCGCTTGCCCAATTTGGAGCCTTTCCCCGCGCCGGCGCGAGCCTGGACGCCGCCGACTGCGCCTGCCGCGGTGGTCCTCGCAGTCCTCTGCCCGGGCCTGGCCCCCTGGTCGCCGCTCAGCCCCACAGCTGCTCCCGGAGGTCTGCAAGCCCCGGCCCGGCCAGCTCACTTCCAGGGGTCGAGAAGGGATCGGCCGGGGTGCACCCTCTTCCTTGTGCCTGCACGAGCCCACTCTGGACGCCTCCGTGAGGCCCAGGCCAAGCGCAGGGTGGTCGCGGCGCAGGGAGAGCATCTGCAAACGTTGGTTCCTGTAGTACTTTGAATTTCCCCGAGGAGCTCTCAGGCCCGCCCGGGGAAGTCGGGGTGGCGGGGTGGCAGCATGAGGAGCTCAGCCGGACTTAGCCCGCTCCTCGGCTCGGGGCAGTCGGGGACCGCGCGGAGCGCCCTGCAAGAGGCCGCGGCTCCCCTGCGGCTGTAGAAGGCCGGACCGTGAATGCCCGGAGGGTCTCCGTTCGGGCAAAAATGGGGGTCGAAGCATTTCCAACGCTCCCTGGGGCCAAGCCCGCTACTGCCCGAGCCAGGGACGCCAAGAGCACCGACTCCAGCCCAGCTCTGAGAGCGCGGCGTGCCTTCCCGGCCCGAGGCCAGGTGTTTCCCGGGAGCCGATGGCCTCTGCAACTGGTCAGCAAGCACGCGAGGGCAGGGCTGGCCCGCCATGCAAGGCGCTGCTGTGCGCTACGCAGGAAGCGAGGCGGGGTTCCGGGAGGACCGCGCGCTCTGGGCATCAAGGAGCAGACCGCCCCCTCTGCAGGTCCCAGTTTCCCTCTCTCTGAAATCAGCGATCGGATCAAGGCTTCCTCCCGGGTCCTTTCCAGCACCAAACATCTCCTAACTCTGAGCAGTTCTCACCCCGCATGAACAGATTTGCGGGTTCTCCGACCTCTCTTCCTTTTCTGAGCTTTCATCTTTTTCTGTAACGATGTAAAAATATCCTCCTCACCTCCCTGTCCCTGATTCTAGCGCCAGTACTCTGGCTGTCCGGGGGTGGGGTGGGGAGAGTCTCTTCCTGCCTCTTTCAGTTCTTTTCTGTCCCATCTGGCTTCCTCCTTCTCTCCTGAAACCTCTAGCGACTAGTTAGTTCCCAGTTTTTCCTCTGTGCCCCCCACCCCAGTATCATCTCTGCCCTTGTCCCTGTGTAGCTGTGCCTGGCCATCTCCCTTCCCTGCTCTGTTACCTCCTGCCAAGGATCCCACATTTGACCTTCTGCAGGGTCCTGGATGTGGCCCCTGGACTCCCCGTTGACTCCTCAGACTGGCCCTGTCCAATCTTCTTTCCACTCCCCACTTCCGGACCTGCCTGTCCTCCTCCCTTCCCTGCCTCAATTAATGGTGCCCCACCTGTCTGATCTGTGCCATGGGTCCAGGCAAGTGCAAGGTTCCAGCCTTGGTAATTAGAATGCCAGAGCCACTGACAAAGATTTCAGAGAGAAAAAGGATTTCTAAATTTGTTCTTGAGTAGGTTAAGGTTATTTCAAAATCAAGGAAAGATCTTGATGGATCAGAATGTGAGTTGAGATAGCCACAGCCTTTGTTATGTCAGTTGTGTGAAGTGCTTGTAAAATCACTATTTTATTTTTTTTCTCTTTTGAGACAGTCTCCGTTGCCCAGGCTGGAGTGCAGTGGCATGATCTTGGCTCACTACAGCCTCCACCTCCTGGGTTCAAACGATCCTCCCACCTCAGCCTCCTAAGTAGCTGGGATCATAGGAGTGTGCCTCCATGCCCAGCTTTTTTTTTTTTTTTTTTTTTTTTTTGTATTTTAGTAGAGATGAGGTTTCATCATGTTGGCCAGGCTGGTCTTGAACTCCTGACCACAGGTGACCCACTGATCTCGGCCTTCCAAAGTGCTGGGATTAAAGGCATAAACCACCTCACCCGGCCAAAAATGACTATTTTCTTAAATCTCCAGTAAAAGTATGAAAGTCAGGACTGTTTCTATTTAAAAGAGAAAAAAATGAAGCTTTAGATAATCTACAATTTACAGCTAATAAGAGCTCTGCAAACTGGCAAAGAAGCCAAGATGTCCATGTCTCAGGCTGAGACCCTGCGTCAAGTTTACAGCTTAAAAGTCCCTATAATCTTGGCATTCTAACATGTTATATCCCAACATTATGGACATTTGCTCCTTTTTTCCGCTCAAAATCAAGGGAGTGACTCACATTCTTGGACATCTTGGCTTTTTTGCTAGTCTGCACAGCTCTTATAGCTAGCTATACATTCCAGATCCTTCAAAGCTTCATTTTCTTCTCTATTAAGTATACATGATGAGTTTGATCACAGATTTTATTTTGATGAAAGTAGAATTGAGGGCCGGGCGCGGTGGCTCAAGCCTGTAATCCCAGCACTTTGGGAGGCCGAGGCGGGTGGATCACGAGGTCGAGAGATCGAGACCATCCTGGTCAACATGGTGAAACCCCGTCTCTACTAAAAATACAAAAAATTAGCTGGGCATGGTGGCGTGTGCCTGTAATCCCAGCTACTCAGGAGGCTGAGGCAGGAGAATTGCCTGAACCCAGGAGGCGGAGGTTGCAGTGAGCCGAGATCCCGCCATTGCACTCCAGCCTGGGTAACAAGAGCGAAACTCCGTCTCAAAAAAAAAAAAAAAAAAAAAAAAAAAAAAGAAAGTAGAATTGAAATAAAGCCCAGTCACTATGCCCAGGAAAGTCAAAGTGTCAAGAGCAAACAGATTTCTATATCAATTCTGAGAGGACAGACACTACAGTTACTAGAATCGGAGTGCATTTTATTTTATTTATTTATTTATTTTTTTGAGACAGATTCTCGCTCTGTTGCCCAGGCTGGAGTGGAATGGTGTGATCTTGGCTTACTGCAACCTCTTCCTCCTGGGTTCAAGCGATTTTCGTTCCTCAGCCTCCCAAGTAGCTGGAATTTCAAGCGCGTACCACCACACCCAGCTAATTTTTGTATTTTTAGTAGAAATGGGGTCTTGTCATGTTGGCCAGGCTGATCTTGAACTCCTGGCCTCAAGTGATCTGCCTACCTCGGCCTCCCAGTGTGCTGGGATTACAGGCATGAGCCATTGCCTCGGCCCTGAAAGCATTTGAATCCTAGTTTCCTGTATTACTTAACCAAGATCTTTACCAACTCTTGGCCAACTCAGGCTCTTTCCTTAGTTTTACAATCAGGTCGACCTGATTGTAAAACTAAGGAAGTTTTAGAAAACTACAAAATTTAGAAAATTACAAAATTACAGAATAAAATGTGTTTTATTCATGTTTTGCAAAGTCTTTATTATCTGGATTGGGGATGCACAACCTGCACTTAACCCCAGGCCTTAGACCCAGAGTGGTGGTGAAGGAGTTTAGCCATGATCCAGTGACAGGACAAGAAAACAATGACACATCAGGGTTTCTGCCATTAGGTTACAGTATCTTCACACATGTAAGTGCTTAGAATATAGTGCAGTGAATAATATTTGAACAGAGAAAACTGAGCAAGGGCTCCCCAGTGGCCAAGGATTCTCATTCCTGCGAAGCAAAAACTAGGTGAGGTAACTTGTCAGAGGAAGCAAATTCAGGGCTCACTAGAGATCACAGAGATTTGTCCATCAGCTCTTCAGTCATCCCCAGCTCTCCTGGTGCCCTAGAACACTTCAGAAACACACACAGGTCAAGTTCCTCCAGGCTGGAGCCTCCTTGGCACCAGCGCCCCATCCGAGGCACAGCTGCACTTCTGCACCCTCATGTTGGGCAGGCTGACCACCTGGGGCCTGGTCCTGCCTCCCTCCTTGATGCTGACAATCATGGGCAGTGAGGCAGTCTCTGAGGCGATGCACTGTCGTGGCCCCAGAACCGGCCACTTGAAGGCCAGGGCCTCCGGGGGCTGCTGGCAGGTGCCCACACACTCATAAGCCAGGAAGCCCGGGGGCTCCAGCACCCAGTTCTTGGCCCACTTCATCCCCTGCAGGTCAATGTACATTTCCTGGCGGCAGCAGCGGGTGCCCTCGGTCACTGGTGCTTCAGGGTCACAGTCACCCTGAGCTCTGTGGGGGCAAGGACAGGCAGGGTCAGAGGTCAGCTGGGAAGGCTGAGGTCACAGGGCATCTGGGAGGGAGATTTATGATCCATCTCCTAAGTTCAAAAAGCTGAATATTTGCTATATAGGATGGAAAGCTAGAAATAACTTGAAAATTAATAACTAATATTTACTGAGGACCTCCTAAGAGTCAGAGAAAAAATTTTGTACATTGTCTTATTCATTCCCACAGCACTCTGAAAAGCTGTCCATTTCAGAATAAATTGAATTGCCTCTTTCTGTCTCTTTATTCAGGCTCGCCAGTTTGACATGGAGCACCTACCCGTAGTCCCTGAGGTCCAGGGTGTGCAGCTCCAGCTGGGGCTCCCCACGCCCCGCCGGCGTCCCCTGAGCGGTGAAGCGGACCAGCCTGTGGGCTTCCGACGCCCCCGGGCCCAGGTGCTCCCTCTGCACCGACACCTGCAGCAGCAGCGGCTGCCGGGGCCGGCTCAGCTGCTGCCAGAAGTTCACGGCTTCGGTCACGTCGAAGGCCTTCCAGCCGCTCTCGTGGACGGACACCAGCCTGAGGACACGACACACACGACACGGAGACCCAGCGCCGCGTGAGGGCGGGGACTGGAACGGGCTGAGGACCCCGCGCCGCCCCGCGCGTCCCCGCCCCCAAGCCGGGCGGAGCAGCCCCCTCGCCCTGCTCTGCGCTTCCGCGCGACCCCCACCTGGAGTCGATGAGGGAGGTGCGGTTGGAGCCGTCGTCGCGGACGCTCAGCCACTCGACGGTGACCCGGGCCCGGTCGCTGCGCGGGGACAGCCGCCCGTGCCTGTGCGGCGCGGTCCTCGGGACCGGCTCCTGGAAGAGCCGCAGCACGGCCTGCACCAGCTCGCGGTTGGGCGGCAGCCGCTGCTCCATGCTGAACACCAGCAGGTGCGTGCTGGCCTCGGACGCCAGGAACCTGCCGGCCACCTCTGCGGACAAGAGCGGGGTCAGCGGGGTCAGCAGGGCCTCCCGGACTCCAGGGGAGCTCTGAGGTTGCAGCGCCCAGGATTTCTCCAGTAACCACAGGGAGAATTTGGGGCTGAGAAACTGGTGGGCCAGGAAAGACAAAGCGCTCCCCACATATATCCCAATTTAAAAAAATGCAGTGAAGCCGTGTCCTACAGCGGTCACATGGAGTTGGGGCTTGTTTACCAGCCGCTGCTATCCTCAGTCGGTAGGGGCAGTTTGGAGACCCTGCCTGCGCAAAGAGCTGGGGTTTCAAGTGGACAGAAACCCAGCCTTCCCTAGGGGCAGGACTAGAAGGGGAGAGGGAATGGAAAGTGGGAGGCAGAGAACCCGAGTGGAAGTCTATGTTCACCAGCTGAGCTGTGCTTTTCTGAAGGGGCAGAGGAAGAGGCCTGAATGTGCTCTCATTTCCCTCTCTGGTGACAGAGCTCATGCCCAGTGTCATGTCCCCAAATGAAGGAAAAGGAGCCAGGTGCCTATAAACTACTTCTGTGGAGCTACTGAGCCCTGAGGTCAGTGGCGGCGACCCATGCAACCCCCTCCTCAGAGGTACCAGTGTGTCATTAACACCCGAGGCTCCAGGCTGGCAGCATGGTCACCTCACCAGCTACCCATGGTGCTGGAGCAGTCACCCCTGCTGCCTGTTCAGGACCAGCATCCTCCTGTCCCCAGACACGAAGCCTGCCTGCAGCACAGGATG